CTTAAATCAGCTCAACAAAAATATCAGACAGACTGTCAAAAGATAAGAAGTCAAAAAGGAAAATATCATCGCAAACCAAATTGTTTTTACTGTTGAGTTCAAATCTGAAAACTTTCCGATTCCACTTCTTGGAACTCTCAATCAGTCAGGCAAAAAAAATGCATGAATCAGTCATAACTAGAGTCTGTAATTAGAGGATCCTACACAATGCAAACATCATCAAAGTTTCGAAATTTAAACGCCGAAATTCTACAAAAAAGAACCTGCTAATTTCAAAGTATTAGATCTGATTGAGATGAAACACTAAAACCAAAATCTCAAACTTAACCAAAAATCAGACAGACTGCGAAGATATATCAGAACTCATTGGTGAAATTATCATCATTCATCAATTTTCATTTGCAATCGACATAGCATTTAGAAGTCGTTAGTTTTTAAAATGTCAGATATAGAAAAAAAGAATAGTTCAGAACCACAGCTTTTAATCAAGAATCATTCTCGATGCATTTCTTCATCACAATTTTTTGAAACAAAATGTTCCATTACTACTTGAAAAGGTCCTTGTGTCTTGGAAGAAAGGACCGGTAGAAAACAAAGCTTAAATCAGCTCAAAGTCAAAAATGTCAGTCAGACTGCAAACAGATCAGAAGCCGAAAAGGAAAACATCGCAAACCAAAATGTATTTATTGTTGAGTTCAAACCTGAAAACTTTCTCATTCCACTTCTTGGAACTCAAATTCAGTCAGGTAAAAAAACAGCCTAAATAATCAGAACTACAGTCTGTAACTTGAGGATTATGCAAAATGCAAATGTCATCAACGTTTTGAAAATTAAACGCTGAAAATCTACAAAAAATGAACCTGTTCATTTTCAAAGTAATAGAACTGATTGAGAAAAAAATCATCCATCTCAAACTTAACCAAACATCAGACAACCTGCGAAAAAATGTCAGAAATCATTGGTGAAACTATAAGCATTCATCAATTTGCATTTACAATCGACATAGTGTTTGGAAGTCGTTAGTTTTTAAAACGTCAGATGTACAAAAACAGAATATATCAAAACCACAGCTTTTAATCAAGAATCATCCTCGATGCATTTCTTCATCACAATTTTTGAAACAAAATGTTCCATTACTACTTAAAAAAAATATTTGTGTCTTGGTAGAAAGGACTGGTATAAAAAAGCTTAAATCTTCTCAAAATCAAAACTATTGAACAGACTGCCAAAAAATCAGCAGTCAAAAAGAAAAATATCATCGCCAACCAAATTGTATGTACTTTTGAGTTCGAATCTGAAAACTTTACGATTCTACTTCTTGGAACTCATATTCAGTCAGGTAAAAAAAACAGCCTGAATTAATCAGAACTACAGTCTGTAATTAGAGGATCCTACACATTGCAAACATCATCAATGATTCAAAATTTAAACGCCCAAATTCTACAAAAAATTAACCTACTATTACCAAGATGATAGAACTGATTGAGACGGAACACTAAAAATATCCATCTCAAACTTAACCAAAAATGAGATAGACTGCGAAGATACGTCAGAAATCATTCGTGAAATTATCATTATTCACCAATTTTCATTTGCAATCGACATAGCGTTTAGAAGTCGTTAGTTTTTAAAACGTACGATAAAAAAAACATCAAAACCACAGCTTTTAATCAATATTCATTCTCGATGCATTTCTTCATCACAATTTTTTGAAGCAAATTGTTCCATTACTAGTTGAAAAGATCCTTGTGTCTTGGGAGAAAAGAACCGGTATAAAACAGAAGCTTAAATCAGCTCAACGTCAAAATTATCAGTCAGACTGCAAAAAGATCAGAAGTCAAAAAGGAAAACATCATTGCAAACCAAACTATATTTACTGTTGAGTTCAACTCTGAAGACTTTCCTATTCCACTTCTTGGAACTCAAATTCAGTCCGATAATAAAAAGACAGCCTGAATAAATCAGAACTACAGTCTGTAATTAGAGGATCCTACACATACAAACATCAACAACGTTTGAAAATCTAAACGCCCAAACTCTACAAAAAAAGAACGAGCTATTTTCAAGATGATAGAACTGATTGATATGAAGCACTAAAACCATCCATCTCAAACTTAACCGAAAATCAGACAGACTGCGAAGATCTATCAGAAATCATTGGTGAAATTATCATCATTAATCAATTTTCATTTGCAATCGACATAGCGTTTAGAAGTCATTGGTTTTTAAAACGTCAGATTTAGAAAGTAAAAATACATCAGAACCACAGCTTTTAATCAAGAATCATTCTCGATGCATTTCTTCATCGCAATTTTGGGAAACAAAAGTTCCATTACTACTTGAAAAAATCCTTGTGTCTTGGAAGAAAGCACCGGTATGAAACAAGCTTAACTCAGCTCAACTTCAAAAATATCAGACAGACTGCCAAAAGATCAGAAGTCAAAAAGGAAAACATAATCGCAAACCAAATTATATTTAGTGTTGAGTTTAAAATTGAAAACTTTCCGATTCCACTTCCTGAAACTCAAATTCAGTCAGGTAATAAAAAACAGCCTGAATTATTCAGACCTACTGTCTGTAAATAAAGGATCCTACACAATGCAAACATCAACAAAGTTTCAAAATTCAAACGCCGAAAATCTACAAAAATTAACCTGCTAAGATCAAGATAATAGATCTGATTGAGATGGAACACTTAGATCACCATCTCAACCAAAAATCAGACAGACTGCCAAGATATATCAGAAATCATTGGTGAAATCATCATCATTTATCAATTCTGATTTGCAATCGACATAGCGTTTGAAAGTCGTTAGTTTTCAAAACGACAGATGAATAAAAAAAGAAAACATCAGAACCACAGCTTTTTATCAAGAATTATTCTCAATGCATTTCTTCACAACTTTTGAATTAAAATGTTTCACTACTACTTACAAAAATCCTTATGTCTTGGAAGAAGGGACCGGTATAAAACAAAAGCTTAAATCTTCTCAAATTCAAAATTATCAGACAGACTGCCAAACAATCAGAAGTCAAAAAGGAAAGCATCACCGCAAACCAAATTGTATTTACTGTTGAGTTCGAATCTGAAAACTTTCCGTTTCTCTTTCTTGAAACTCGAATTCAGTCAGGTGAAAAAACAGCCTGAATTAATCAGAACTACAGTCTGTAATTAGAGGATTCTACACAATGCCAACATCATCAACGTTTCAAAATTTTAACGCCAAAAATCTGCAAAAAATTAACCTAATATTTCCAAGACGATAGAACTGATTGAGATGGAACACTAAAAATATCCATCTCAAACTTGACCCAAAATCAGATAGACAGCGAAGATATGCCAGAAATCATTGGTGAAATTATCATCATTCATAAATTTTCAATTACAATCGACATAGTGTTTGCAAGTCCTTAGTTTTTAAATCGTCAGATATATAAAAAAGAAAACCACAGCTTTTAATCAAAAATCATTCTCGATGCATTTCTTCATCAAAATTTTGGAAACAAAATATACCATTACTACTTGGACAGAACCTTGTGTCTCAGAAGAAAGGACCGGTATAAAACAGAAGCTTAAATCAGCTCAAAGTGAGACTGTAAAAATATCAGCCAGACTTAAAAGATCAGAAGTCAAAAAGGAAAACATCATCATCGCAAACCAAATTGTATTTACTGTTGAGTTCGAATCTGAAAACTTTCCGATTCCTTTTCTTGGAGCCCCAATTCAGTCAGGTAATAAAAAAACACCTTGAATTAATCAGATTTACAGTCTGTATTTCGAGGATCATACAAAATGCGAATGTCATCAACGTTTAAAAATTTACACAAGAAAATTCTACAAAAATTGAACCTAATTATTTTCAAAGTGATACAACTGATTGAAAAAAATAAATCATTCATCTCAAACTTAACCAAAAACCAGACAGACTGCAAAGATATATCAGAGATCATTCGTGAAAATATCATCATTGATCAATTTTCCTTTGCCATCGACATAGCGTTTGGTTATCGTTAGTTTTTAAATCAACAGATGTTGAAAAAAAGACTACATCAAAACCACAGCTTGTAATCAAGACTCATTCACGATCCATTTCTTCATCGCGCTTTTCAAGATCAAAAATTCGATTTCGTCTTGAAATGATCCTGGTATCCTATAAGAAAATGATAAGCCGGGTGTATTCAACAAATTGGACCTGAGTAAAATAGAAAACTTTACTAAATCAAAATTAAAAAAAACACTTGACAAACTTTTTCGCCATCACGTTTTAAGGCTTACACGCAAAAATCTACTAAAAGTGAGCCTGCTAATTTCACGAAAATCAAACTGATTGAAATAGAAAACTAAAACCAGCTCAAACTAAATAGATTTCACACAGACTGCAAATAGATATCAGAAGTCAATAGTAATAAAATCATCATTGACCAATTTTAATTTACACTTGAGTTAGCATTTGATGTCACCAGCTGTTGAATCAAACATTTGTTGAAAACAGAACAAAATAATCAGAACCACGATGCATTCACGATGCTTTCAATCATTCACGATGCATTTCATCATCAGTTTTTAAGATAAAAAACGCTTAACTTATAATTAAGTGAGCCTAATAACTTCAAAAAATTGAACCTAAGTGAAATAAAAGTTATAGGTGACATAATCAGCAAAAAATTTGAAATTGTAATTTGTTCCGGAAACCCAATCGTGAAGCTGAGAACTAAAATCCGTTGTAAAAATTTCATTCAGAACGACCGCCAGTAACAACTGTGTTCACTTAACGTTTTTTTAACCCCTTTCACAGTAGTCAAACAAAGATCTTGAAGTTTTTGTTAAGCAAATGAAATTTACGAAAAAATAACATTGAAAATTTGATTGCAAATCATGCTAATTGGTGTTCAAATTCATCCAATCAAAAATTAAAAACTAAAAAATACGAACATACCTATACATACGTTCGGATTCAAATACTTTGGCGTTCGTAATTACTTGAAAAAAATCTACTTACAGGAAGAATATCTAACTGCATGAAAACTTTGATCAGGTCAATTCGTTCTTCGCAATTAGGCATTTCACACAACACTAGAATTACTTCAGCAGCCAATTTCATATTTGAGAAGGTGTCATACTCATCAACGATTGCCTTCGGCTGACTGAGCATTTCAGCTAACTGGCCAAGGATGTTAAATGCATCGCAGTTGAGAATTTGTTCGTACACTGCACTTAAAAGTGATGGTTCTACCGTAAGGCAGTCCAGAAGGAACTGCAAGCTACATCTAAAACAATAATTAAATTCCCTTTTGCGTTGTGATTCTGTTTAATCTGAAACTTAACAGCGTGTCTACTAAGCATTCTAAAACGGCAGAAAAAAATTGCAGAGTCAGACCAATTTCCTGTAAAGAAATAATTGGAAGTTCAGATTCGCCTCCTCTTGAAAAAAATCCTTCATCCGCGCCTGTTTGCGATTATCAAATATAGGAATCGTTATTCAGCTCCAATGTTAATCCAGCTTAGCAGCCGTTGAATTATCTCAAATGAGTCTGAAGCTCTTTTCTTGGAAAATTTGAAAAGTATAAAACTTTTTGAACGAATTTTCAAGAGGCAAACTTATCCAAACAAATTAGCCAATTTTTCAAATGTTCAATGCTTTCGACTTCAAGGCTGGTTGAAATTAACCAATCAAAACTAAATAAATTGGAATTTTCAAATACGATTTTCTCACAAGGAGTCTTGAGCACAGAATTTGCTGAAAATTTAACCAAATTAACATGGTGCCATTCATTTTTAAAAATTCATTGCGCATAAGAAACGTCCAAAGACTGCAGGCATCTTCAGGGGCGGACGCTCCCCCTCAGGAATTCGACCCCCTGCCGACCCAAAGGGTCCCCCTTTGTACTATTTTTAGATATCCATTTTTGGTGAGGGACCCTAAAGTTTTTCTAAAGGCTCCTTTGGCGCCAATATGAACTAATTTTGAAGAGGGAGCGCGCACCGAAAAAACGCGATTTTTTGATAAACATTTTCCAAAAAGTGCCTAAAATTGCCCTTTTTGGACCGTTTTTCAAAATTTTGCCTGCGGCGCAGAAACTTCGGCCAAAACAGGGTCTTCGTAATGCTTTATGAGAGCTCAGAAAATCAATTTGGTCGACCTAAAAAAAGGTTCTGGGCGCGCTGAAGTTTATAAACGAGCAGCTGCGCTCTGAAGTTTAATAACGAGCAGCTGCGCTTTGGGCGCGCTGAAGTTCAAACGTGACCAGCAGTCAAACCAAAATAGAGGCTGTTACAGTAATCAAGCCTTGAAATAACAAAGGAGCGAGCTAAATGTGAAACTATTTTTTATTTTTTTTATTCAACGAGGTCAACAGTAAATGGTGCTCGTATTTTACCATCAATGAAAAGTAAGCTGAAATATAACTCTGTTTCCCATCGTGTTGCCAAATTAATCAATATATTAGCCAATTGGTGTGTAACTATACCTTTCTCCTTTGAAACCCATCATTCAAAAAATGCTTTCTGTCATTCAATCTTAGATTCATATATAATAGGAAATTGCAATTTGATTGATGAACTGATCGCTAGACTTGAACTAATCCATTCTAACTTCCCTGAGTCTTCGGTTAGACCTGATAACCTCTCGTCGAAGGTACAAGGCAGTGGACACTAGGAAGGGAAGTTAGAAAAATGCGAACAACTGGATTACCAGCTCTTAAGAACTGGGCCCACTTGCTCGCTGATTAAATTAACGGTCATTATTTCGCATCCGCCCGCTGTCAGTTGTATACCCTTGTAGGTATAAGCTTACATCATATCTCTTACATGTTGAAGAATAAAGATTTAAAATTTAAAAAAAAAGTGATTGCACTATTTAAGTTTTGTTTTTTTTCTTTCGCTTTAAATTTGCCTCTTTGACTTGAATTAATTATTGAACTTTTTGATCTGATGTCATATGATGTTATTCCTTTACGGGGCAACCTTCAACAAGCCTCTCGTTGGCTTTCTGGTTGTCCTATCATGAGTTATTTTTGAAATTTTGCATATTGTGTTATGATAATTTGATTACTCATGATGAATATTAAATAAATAAATAAATAAATGAGCAGCGTTTTCAAATGATACATATTTACATATTCCACAGAGTAGCCTTAATGGCACACATGTCGCTTTCTCTAATAACAGCCAGATATGAGAGAATTGCGTTATAAATTTCTAATTTCGTTCGTTTAGTGCGGATAATTAAGAACTGTATAGGATGTAAGCAAACCACTTACTGAACGAGTGAGGTTTTATTGCTGGGTGCAATCACTGAGGAGCAGAGGCCCAATAGAGAAGACAGATTAGGTGCAGATTGGACCACAACCGAAGAGAGAGTGGGGTTGCATGTGATGCGGGAGAGAATGGTCATCACTTCTATTAATAAGAGGTCGAACATCTTCTGGCTCTGGAAGGCACTGTCTATGTACAAGTCAGAATAGATTTCCCCCAGTCTGAAACAACCATCAAAACAAAAGCTATTTCAAAATAGAAGCGAAGCTGCACTTCAAAAACACAAGCTAAATACCATCCTCATTTATTTGTGACAGATTCAGTCTATAAAATAATAAGGCAAAACCGAGAGACTTCAAAAGGAAGGCGTGAACCGATACTGCAGTTTCGCTGTGAGCAGATTCTGAGAAAGTTTCCATTGATAAAATTATTCTCACCTTAATTAAACTTGTGTATATGTTCTTATATAATATGATAAATTTATGTATATAGAACATTCCGGCGCAATGCTTAACTTAAACCTTGATTTGTTTTCAGCACTATTTTAATTAACCCAAGGATTAATTAATTTCACATGATTGAAAAAGCGCAAAACATAGCCAACTTACAGTTGGAAAAGAGTAATGAACGCAACGAAACTAAAAAAAAAACGACTTGTTTTTTTTTCAAAAATCTTCAACTTTTGAATTTCGAATAAAAAAATTAGATGGCCTTAAAGCTCTTTGAATTTGTGGAACAATTTATGATGGACACTTTTTTGTTAAAATTAACCCTATTTGAAAAAAAAAACTGGATCAATAGGTAAAACTTTTATTTCGCTGGGAAATCTGATAATTGAATTTCATTTTCAAAATTAGAAAACGACCACGTTTTTGTGACCTTTACATATTTCCTGTTCAAAAAGCGGAGTTTGCCTTCCTTTTAACAATCGAAATGCACTGAACTTAAAAAGAAATCAGCAGTCAAAAAAATCAAAAATGAGCGTGAACAAATTTTAGGACTTTTTCCTAAGGAAAAAAATCAGCAAAACCAATTTAAGAGTCGTCACTCCGTTCATTACTCTGAAAAGATATTTAACAGAGAGATGAATCTTAAATCGTTATCTGAACAATACTTAAGAAGTTGTAAAGAAGCCTACAATACCTGAGCACACATCCGCATATCAGAAAAAAATCCCCTCAAAACACACGGATAATAAACATTTTTCTCACATCAAAAGACTCAACTAAACCAATATTATTCAATGGAAGATGTTTCAAGCCGAACAAAATAAACACACAGAGGTGAAGCGGAGATCCGCAACCTTTGCAATAAAACACAAACATGGAAAACAAGTTGAAAAAATGAAAAATATTGATAAAAAACAAAGTGAATTTAAATTTTTGTACGTCTCGATAATAGAGAACTAGAGGCCAGCTAAAGGTGGTGTTACATGTCTGATATTTTTGGAACTTGCTTTACTGATGCGAGATGCAAAGGTTAATTTCAAAAATTGGACTTTGCCCGTCCAATTGGACGGTGTTTCTCTACAAAAATAAGTGAGAAGAAATTGTAATCTTACAAAAGACAAAATCTTTCTTGTAAAAAACTCCGGAGTCGCGCTTCTGCAGGAACAATTTTACAACCGGCTGTTGATTGATTCCTTTCCTAGTTTCTAAGAAAATTCAAAAAAGATTTTATAAAACGCTCGAAGTTCAAAATATTGACCATCCTAAATCCATAACTTTTTTCGACTAAAAAAGATAGTGGCCGCTTAAGCAGAGAAGATTCCCAAAACCGGGATCTCCATTGAAAACTTAACCTAGGAATTGACAGGCTAGTGGACAAGAAAAGTCAAAAAGTTTCCAAAAAAATGGTCAACAAATCAAAAAATTGACTTTTTCGAGAATCATAGCTTTTTGTGTGAAAACATTTGGGTGTGGCTGCTTACGCAACAGAGATTCACGCAACCGGTTTTTTTGAGTTAATTCTTAATCTCAGCATCTCAGATTTGATAGGATATTTTTTAAGATTCAAAATGTTTCTTAAATCGGTCAAAAGTTCAAAACTTCACTTCCCGAAATCCATTAAAAAAATTCTTGTAAAAGAACTTCCCACAACCCGTTATTCCGATTGAACCCAAAATCTCAGATTTGCGAGTGTAGTTCTCGAAAAAACTTGAGAAGTTTCAAAAAACGTTCAAAAAAATCAAAATTTTGAATAAGCGTCACACAACCCGCTCTTTGCCTTGCATCCAAAATATCAAAATTGGGAGGGAAGTTTTCGAGGAAAATCAAGAAGTATTCAAAAAATGGCCAAAAATCAAATAATTGGCTATTCCGAGGGCCAACTCTTTTTCTGTAGACAAAATTGAGCGTAGCCTCGTCTGCAGGGGAGTTAACCACAACCCGCTCTTTGCATCCACAGTCTCAGATTAATGAAGGTAATCTTCGAAAAAAGTCAGAAAGATTCTGAAAACGGTCAACAAATCAATTAATTGACTATTCTGAGGGCCAAAACTTTTTGTATTACAAAAATGTAGCGAATTCACTAAAGCAGGGGAACCATCCAACAAAACATTTTAGCAAGTAAACCCAGAATCACAGTTTTCGGATAGTAGTTTTTGAGAAAACGAACGAAGCTAAAAAATAGTTAAAAAAATCCACCCACTGACTTTTGGAAGGCTGTACACAGAGGAGTATAGTAACACAGACTAGGTGATTATACATGCAAAAGTCATTCTTTGAAAATCGGTGGACTAGTTTTGGAGATAATGTTTTTTTTGAGACGCTTTACACCAATTCTACCATTTTCAAAAAAGAGGTGCTAGTGAAAATACCGCCTACTCTTCTGTGTGCATGCATATTCCCCCAATCCTTTTTTACTTTTGCTTTACCCCTCTGTCTACAGCCTTCAAAAAATCTGTGAGTGGAAATTTTTTTGAGTTTTATTATAAAACGAAGTTTTCGCTTTGTGTCGTTCAATACCTGATTAAATGCTCTGCGAACTTCTCGTTAATAATCTGCTTGCAATCTTCAACCACTTTCTTCTCTTTCAAAGCCAGTCGAACGAAACACAAAACAACATGCACATGTCCATGACGCATTCCTTGCATGAATCCCACGACAAACACTCGTTTTTCTACCACTAATTTAAACAACTTGGAAAGCTTAGTCGTGTCCACTTTGTTAGACTTTGAACCATCTTTGTTGCTTTTCAGTTTAGGCAAGAAGTTTGAGAATAACGTTTGTTCCTGGTTCAGTTTTTCACAAGACTGAAGAGAATTTGTCGCTGAGGTAGCTTTAAATCTAGGTTGTTTGCATCCTCCGCACTGACCAAGTAAACAAGATTCACTTAGTGAGTTAACACTATCTAGTAATGCATCCATTTTTGGATCCGTGTTCATTTACCAGCTATATACTTTTGTCACATTACTTGACGGTTGTCGGCTTTTTACATATTTACAAGGTTATCTACATGTTATTTCACAGCAAAACATAGCTTCTCTGAAAAATAATATAAATTGCTAATCATTTATTGAGTCAGCCAAAAAACTTTTTGAAAACTTACTCTCAAAACTTGCCAATTACCATTTGATTAAATGATCAAACGGTGAAGGCGTCGAATCGGAGAAAAAACTCATCGTAAAAACAAAACAGATCTCAATTCTTCAAACTTCAACACTTTGACTAACTTCCAAAACTTAAAGCCAGGAAAAAAAAACTCAAGAAATAATTTAATTGTTTAAGACATAATATTTTAAATTTAATTTCCTTGATTTATTTGAGTTTCACACACTAACATTAAAAACCTATTCCCGATTAGCATTATTCCTGTTGGGCCCTCTCGACGGATGATACACCACTAGGGAATGGGAGACCACGTCATAGGCAGTTCTGTTGTTGTACATCATAACTGTAAACACCAGAGGAAAGAAAAAAGTCATGGCCATATTTTTGATCATTGACCTCACAAATGACCTCCCATAACCCAGATTCCTGCACCCTGTAACCAGAGCTTCTTCTGGACCCAGGCTGTCTGCACTCGTACATCCAATGACCCGAATACCCATTGCGTATTTTCCGGGCGTACATCCACCTAAAAGTTGTATGTCAGAACAATAAGTACAGCAGTATCTGCATCAGGGGCGATTTTAAGGGAGGTACTATCCCCCCTAGGTACTATTTCACGAAATCCATTTTCGACCGACTGACCATAAAATTTTTCTTAAGGCGCCAATATATGCTAACTGCAAGTCAAAACACGAGATTTGTTTGTAAAAAACCTTCCAAAAAACGCCTAGAAACGTTTTTTTTATTTGGCAGCGGTGCAAAAAAATTATGGTCTTTATGGGGTTTTATAGAGCTCAGAAAATCTCTTTGGTCGCTCAAAATTAAAGGTCATAGAAAATTTCTTGAAAATTCTCCTCCTAAAAATGCTAGAACCACCACTGCAGTTCAATCCATGAACTAAATTAGCTTGCTGTGTGAGAATTATCGAAAAAAATTGAAAAATTATTTTCTTTACTTTATTTAGTTGATTGGTTTTGATTGTTTTGTTAGTTGCTTTTGAGTATAACCTTCCTCCATTAATCGTGGACATAACTGATTAAAGGGGTTTGCAAGTTTTACTTGCTTTCGGATTGGAATACAAAAATTTCAACTTAGTAACATACACCCACCTAGATTGTCTCGACGACCTGCTAAGAACCACATTTCCAGTATGATCACCGCTAGCTTATGTATCCCTCCTATGAGGATGATTTCAATCAGTTCTTGCATCACATTGTCTTCCTGCATCAACCCCGAATCCAAGTTCAAAAGTTCCAGCTGTAACTCGTCAAACGTATAACTAAAGCTAAAATTGCTCCGTGCCAGTTTAATGTCGAAGACTTGCATTAAAATTATATTTGTGATGAAGAACTTGATTGCAAACACGATGAAAAAGTCGATAAGCTCTGCGAATATCCGAGTCGTGAAGGTTGGAATGTCGAAGGTAGTGCTGACTTCGGGAGCCGCCATTCGTCTGCGTGCAACATTTGGGTCGGAATTCGTCCCTGCTGACGACGAGTCTGTGTTTTCTCTGCTTGGGGGAGGCGGAGGTATTTTATTACCCGTTACTTTCTCGTATGCATTTACCATGTAGCGCATTTGGTTTTGTTGCCACAAGGCGTTGTAGACGGCACACTCGTAATTCCATTGTTGAAGATTTGCTAATGCCTTCTTACGATCTGAGGATGACATAATTATTAATCTGAAAACATTTCTAAAAGAATGAGTCACCGGCAAACACTTTGAGTATTGTGATTTTTGAAATCGGAGGCGAAACGTAGCTTTCCATTAAAGGTGAAACAACACAAAAACGCATGGCAAATCAGCCGACTGAAAATAAGACGGAAACCTCAATGTAAAAAAAAGTAGCCGTCGAAAAAAACTACCAAAATTTCGCATACTTATCTAGAATGGAAAAAAATAAAAATGATTTTGAATGAAAACAATCGGTAAAACCCAAAAATACTTGAGTACACACCCGATGAGCTAAAGAAAAATTGTGTTGACAGTATTTTAATTACAAAACGGTATATTCACATCCCATTAAGGTGTCAGTTAGACATACATAACTTTCCTCAATTCATTTGGGGAATTTTTTATGGTTGTTTTGCAGCTACTGCATTCATTGAACATTATCCACAGACATATTTCGCACCAGCCCATCTAAAAAGCTGTTCATGATTTAACAGCTAGCAAAAAATGGGTTTCCTCGTAGACATGTAAGACGTAGCCCTGTTCGTTGTTGTACGAGCTGATACCCTTTCTAATTGGCAGGGAAATGAAGTTTTCGCATTGAGTGGGGAATGACTGAAAATGTGCTACTGGCGCTGCATTTTTGCAGGTTCTGAACATGTGACGCAAATTATAATTTACAGATTGCGTTTTTGTACAGACATTGTGCTCAAACAGTCAGGGTTGTTTCTCACCGTCTGCACTTCTTCTAACAGTGACTCCATGTAAAAATACATCGCAAAAGGGTTGTAGCATCGGGCACCAATGTTTCAGAATCGCAACTTGCTTTTGGTGTTATCAAGAATTGCTACTAGTGCAAGTAAGGTTCCCATGCAGACAAACTGGTGTTGCTTAAGTCGCTCTGTAGATATACATCGGTGGAAACAGTTACTGCAGCGATTTCTTTATTTACGCATTTGTTTTTTGAAATTCACTGACCAGGTCATTGAGATCTTTTTATCAAAACGTAGTGATGCATACCCATATCGTTTATCAGCAGCAAAATCGCAACAACAATTGACAGGTATATCGACACTCTCAGACGCAGAAAAGACTTCGCACAATACCTAAAAACCAACAATAGTTTTCCTACTTATTTAAACTAACAACCTTTTTTCAGCGATTATGCAACTAACAATTCGAACTTACTTGCTTTGCTTATTTAAACTAACTATCTTCTTTCAGCGAATATGCAATTAACAATTTGAAATTACTTGCTTTGCTTATTTAAACTAACTATCTTTTTTCAGCGAATATGCAATAACAATTTAAACTTACTTGCTTCGTGTTTTTCAACTGGTCGCATAAACTCAATTCCTCCAACTGATTACTTATAATTGTTCTATTTGCGACCGGGATGATTTTCTGTCGATAACAACCAGCAACAACTGTCGATGTTCACCAGTTTCAGGATTATGACAATTTGTCAATCATCCGAACGCTCAATCCACTGCCATGAAACGCACACTGATGAACAGTAGTTGGTGTCTGATCCAAGCAATCATAGAATTGCTCCTCGGTCCATCCCTGAACGTCCGCGATAAGCTTTTTCCATATCGCAAAAATAGTTAATATTTCTTCAGTTCCATCTTCCTTCAGCTATTGTCTATATTGTGGCAATGCTGTTCGTCAAACCCCCATAACTTAACGAAAAAAGATTTCAGGTAAAATATCTTTTTAATTATGACTTCAGGGCATCAATACTCTTCAGATGGTGTAAAAAATCCGTCAAAAAATCCTAACTAAAAATCGAAGTGTACCAGAAAAAATCCATCCGAGCGCAGACATCTATTCTCTTACTGCTAAAGTCAGAAAAAAAAATACACCGACTAGAATTATTTCGAAACTCGGAAAAGTCTATTTTCTCATTATTTTGGTTTTTCAAGTGCACCTAAATTCTTTTTTTTGAGAATCGTCTAAATTGATAGTCGTCCAACTTGCTTAGCTCAGTTTTGTTTTTGTTTCCTATGTGAGTCCGCGCAATTTTCCTAGGTACTGTTGTATTTAACGGATTATATTTGTCGCCTTTTTATCCAGGCAGGGCAAATAGAAAATTTGAGAAAAAAATACAAAAGATAGACGTTTCAACATTGTTTAAAACAGCCACTTTTTCAAATTGTCAACACTGATTGTAGAGTTGCTTTTTTGACAATTTCGAAAAGGGAAAATCTCGTAGCCCGTACTTGCAAATTACAACATAATATTTTTCAAAATGTTGGCCAAATTAACTGCTAAGACGCGACAATGCTTTTCAAGTAGTGGCTCAGAATAATTCATCAAAAGGAAATTTCTAAATTCACTAAAGTTAAATACAGATCGTGGAACGTCTAACCAATAGACATTAATTTATTAACAATATTTATAAACAAGATATGAAAGGCAAATGAGGAGTAGAACATCTAATTGCATTTCGCTATTGTGGTGGTGCGGCTAACTGATTGAGGCGTCGCATTAGGTCGTCGTCAGCTTCTGCAGATCCCGTAGCAGGGAGAGCATTGGCTCTGCTTTGTGGAAGCTAGAAAAAAAACATCATAACACCTGATGTAAAAAAATTTATTCCGTGATGATAATAAGTATTCTGTGAGAATACATTTTCCATTTTCAATTACAATGAAAGCTCGCTTGCGGAAAAAATTTCATACTCTCACTTATTTTTTTTCAAGAAATTGTGAAACATTTTACCGAAATAGGATTAAAAGTAGAAATTGCTGAGGGAAACCTTAGGATTACGACTACTTGGAAACCGACTTCTCTGAGTTAGATAAGATCTATGATCAGAGAATGACTGATGCGCGCAAACTTAAGAGAAAGTTATTTATGGTTATTTTTCTGGGCTGAGAATTGATTCCTCGCCATCAGACTACGGACACGGATTGACTAAGAGGCTGACACCTAAAGTAGTTTAACGCCACTCTTCTCGTACGCACTTCGAACAGTATTCGTACCTGGGCGTTGATGTCGATGCCGATCTCAGCCAATACCTCATTGACCACATCGTCTTCTGCTCCTTCGTCGTCCGAGAGAGCAAGTGCCATCGCGTCGTCCATCATCTCCTCCGTCATCTGCATCTTCTCGTTCTCCTTCTGGAACTGCTGCATGGTTTGCGCTGTCTTCCTAACATCCGGAGCTGTCTTGGACATCACCTGGAACGAAAGCCAACTCATACGACTTCAATCATAGCAAATCTTAGATAATAGTTAAAAAAACTTCTATGCTTTTTGCGAAATTATTATTTTTGTTAGGAGTTGAAGAGTATGTCCCGTACAAACATTTTTTTAAAATGATCATTTTTGCTAACGAATAATTCTGAAAATGCAGATAATATTTGTTATATCTATTTGCTACAAAAAGTTTATTGGTTAGAAATTGAAGATGATCATTTATCATTTACTTTCTACACTTTTCTGAAACAAACGAACCGTGAGCCTTTTCATTATAGATGACAGCGCCATAATCATATCGGCATATAATCAATTATACACAAAGGCGAAGCAGAGCTTCGCATCACTTGCGAAAGAATACAAACATAAAAAGAACAGTCGAAAAAAATTTTTGATGTTGAAAAATACTAGGTAAACCATATTTTTCGATCATAGTTTTTATTTCGATCATAAGTCTCGATACAAAACACCACAGGCCCAGCTAAAGCTGAAGGTGTGTGTTAAATATTGAATGAGTTTGCTATACTGATGCGGCAGAAAAAATGTGATTTCAAAAATTGGTCTTTGCCTGAAACATTAGTTGTTTCTCTACTAAAATAAGTCTTCTGCAGAAACATTTATTGCAACCCGTCTTTTCAATGGAAATTTTCATCTCAGATTTGTATGCAAAAATTTTAAGAAAATTCCAAAAAATTCTAAGAAGCCGTCAGAAGTTCTGAAAAACAGTCAAAAGACTTTCCAAAATCGACAACTTTTTCTGCACAAAGCAGGTTATGGCCGCTTAAGTAGAAAAAATTTCCGAAGCCGGGTTTCTTGATTGAACACAACCTGAGAATTGGCCCGGTAGTTTTCGCTTAAAGTCAATAAGTAAAGGGTCATAACTTTTTAAAACTAACTGAGCATAGCTAATTTAAAAAGTAGGCTTCCAACAACCTGTTCATTTGATTGAACCTATAAAATCAGCATTCGCAGGATAGAAAGCGAGAAACGTCAAAAAAGTTCAATAAATCAAAAAATTGACGATACCGAGAATCATATCTGTAATTTCGATTGAACCCAAAATGTCAGATTTGGGAGGGTAGTTTTCGAGAAAAGTCAAAAACTTTCGAAAAAATGTGTCCGCTAATGCAGGGAGCATACCACTACCTGTTATCTCATTGAACTAACAATATCAGATTTGAGAGGTTCGTTTTCGAGAAAAGTCGAAAGAATCCACAAAACGATCAAAAATTTAACTATTCTTGTGTGCAAAAAAAAATTGGTCGTAGCCAACTATAATTTTTCAAAACAGCTCTATCCATTGAAACCAAAAACTCATATTTGAGAGAGGTAATTTTCGAGAAAACGATGAAAAAACATAAAATATGGGTCAAATATTCACCCACAACTTTTCGAAGACTGTAGACAGAAGGGTCAAATAAAAAAAGACTCTAGGGGAGTATGCTGGCACACAGACGAATATACGGTCTTTCAATTGGTACTGCTATTTTGAAAATCAGGAGAAGTTTCTGAGAAAAACTAATATTTTTTTGCAAAAAGCGAGAAAATTTCCCCAAAAAAAAGTTCAATATACAGATTGGTAAAAACACAACCGACTTGAAAATTGCGGAGGGGAGTGCTAAAACTGTGTCGATCTTGACACGTCCAAAAAAAAATAAGGTCATTTGGCGAAAAAAAAAACAAAGGAAATATGAAGTCAAGGTAAATAAAATTACAAAACGTAGGCGTAAATAAAGCACTTAAAACAATAAAAAATGCGCGTATAAAAAAACAATTCCAAGATCTGACAACTTAGCCGACAACAGATAAGCAGAAAATTAAATCCCCAACAATTTTTTTTGTAACAATCTTTTCCGTTTGACAAAAAAAAACAGGTCCTGGTCAGGTTCGAACCAAGAACCTTTCCCGTCCCAGGCATATTCGTTGCCTCCAGGTTAAGTTGGCCAAGAACCCTAAGGAATTTGAACACATAATGAAACAAGGTAGAAGTGAGTCCAGACGAGTCCTGTGGAAAAAGTTGTTTACGGGAAAAAATCTAGTACCCGGTTGCAATACCCTTGTTTATCACAACCGTAAATAGACTACATTCTCCAATGATTACAACCCTACATATTGTGCTACCTTAGTGGTTTTAGCCATGGAGTCTGCGACCTTCTGGTTGGCTGCCATGCTCTTTTGTTGCATCTGCACTCCACGTATTCTCCCCTGGGCAGCCAGGGTCCTCTCGTTGGCCTTCCTCATCTGCACCAGCTGCTTGGCCAATGCCGCTGCTACCTGGAACAAATTGATTCGTTTAATGGTAACATTTGTGGTGTAAAAATATACTTTTTGAGATTTGGATTACAAAAAACCTCTCATTGTCGCAAAGAAACAGAATGAATACGTGCACTCCTACGGCTAACAAGGAAAGACGGTTGATAAGCGAGGAACACAAAAATTTTCTACCGTGTGAAATTTTTTGGCAAAACATTTGAGTTTTTTGTGGCTTTTTTTTGTGGTTTGTGGCAACCAAAAATTAGCTGAAAACTTGTAAGATGAAGGAAAATAAACATAGCCAACTGACAGTTGGAAAAGAGTAATGAACGCAAGGAAACTGAAAAAAAAAACCGACTAGTTTTTTCAAAAATCGTCAACTTATGAATTTCAAAGAAAAAAATAGATGGCCTTAAGCTCTTGGAATTTTAGAACAATTTACGAAGGGTTGAAATTAACCCAATTTGAGAAAACTGGATCAACAGGTAAAACTTTTATTTCGCTGGGAAATCTGATAACTAATTTCCATTTTCGAAATTTAAAAGTCGATCACGTTTTTCGTGACTTTTACAATTTTGCTGTTCGATAGTGGATTTGCCTTCCTTTAGCAATGGAAATGCACTGGACTTATGAAATCAGAATTCAAACCGCGAAAAATCAAAATTGAGCGTGAACAAATTTTGAGACTTTTTCCTGAAAAAAAAATCAGCAAGACCTATATAAGAGTACTCACAATGTTCATTACTCTTAAAAGCCAAATAAAACTTTTATAATTCGTTAGCCGCATCGTTGGGTTTAATCAGACTACAGTAAAAGGTTGCCATTTCAGCTTGAAAATATGACACTCCAACTCTTTCTCGTTTTCGAGATATTACGATTTTTATAACCATGTAAAAAAAGGTTCTTGTGTCAATATTGTGTAATGGAAAAGATAGAGATACTTTTTACATAACTTAGAATTAACTTATAGACATTGATGCGCTTATTGTTCCGACCATTTGAAAATTTATTGCTCCAATTTGGCCGCCAACTTTTTCTTCTGACCACCCTTGTATTTGATTTTCCACGCTAATCAGGTACCACGAATGATCATCGGAATGGTTCGAGTGAAGCCCTTTCAGAAACATCAACGAATTTTCTAAAAACTTCAAACAAATGGCGCTAAAAAAACTCATTTTTTTAAAAACTTTTTTTTGGGTAATAAACTAAGCATAAAAAATTTTTGGGTCATAAACTAAGCATAAATAAGCTGTTGTAAGCCTCCTCGCTCGTTTTACTTGCTCGAAATTGAAATAAAAATCAACATTTTCAAGCCAGTTTTTCTCAATTCTGATAAAACTTTTGAAATTTTTTAAAAATTGTTCGAATCACAACTGAAATGGTTTCAATTTCTTACATCACTGGAATCATTCCGATGATTATTTGTGGAACTTATTTTTGCGTTGAACTAAAATTTTGTAGAAAAATGACTAGAAAAAATTTTTTTTTTTAAATTTCGTTTTTCTAGTCATTTTGCTACATAATTTTTTGCCCAATTCGCCTATAGTTATATGAATGTCGAATATGCCTAAATTATAGTTTTGCGTCAGATCTTCTTATCATGTCACAAAAAATTTTACTAATGTGAAAAAAACTCCCAGTGTGCCTAATTTATGCCTTTTGTCTATCCTCTCCATGGTAGTGCTTACCTTTGTTGATTTAAAATGTTGTTGTACTATTTTGGAGAAACTAATTCTTTCGTTCTTTCGGACAGACAACTTCTAGGAGTTTTAAAATGATACCACACTTCACCTTCGACTGGCTTTATTTGAGTTAGCCAAAATTGAGAAACTATACGTAGCCTAAAGCTACTTCCCACTTCGTTGTCGGAACAGTAGTTAAAAAAACAAGTCGGTAATTTGAAACAAGGGATTGATCTACATCATACAAAGCTTCAAATCAAGTTGGTAATGGCATCATCATAAACTGAAAACATAATGTGCTTACCGTTGTTGATTTAAAATATGTTGTTGTACTACTTTGGAGAAACTAATTTTTTCGTTCTTTCGGACAGAAAACATCTACGAGTTTTAATATGACACCACACTTCACCTTCGACTGGCATTGTTTGAGTTAGCCAAAATTGAGAAAGTATTCCTAGCTTATAGTTCCTTCCCACTTCGTTGTCGGAACAATAGTATAAAAAGTCGTTAATTTGAAAGAAGGGAATGACTGGTCTACATCAAACAAAGGTTCAAATCAAGTTGGTAATGGCTTCATACACTGAAAATATAGCCAGTTTCAATTATCGCAAAAAAAATCGAAAAGCAAAAATGATCTTGAACTTCTTTTGTAAAATTTACATTCGAAAAAACCAATTCACTATAATTACAATTTTTAACTGGTTTTTCAAATTTTGAGTTTATGAAGAAAAATTATATACAGACTTAAAACTCTTTTACCTATGACGCTTTTTTGATACAGGCAAAGTTACAGTTGAAAATCCCTCATAGGGTATGTAAATAACGTGAATGGCTTCTCCTCCAGTAATGCGCTATCATGAACAAAAGAATTGCCCCCCATTCAATTTGGAAGGACTTCTGAGCTGTTTTATATTGCCAGCTGTGCTATGGGTTGACAATAAACTTGTAAATATCGCGCATTGTCTCAAATTGGCAATTTTCAAACCCTCAAACCATAACTATACGAAAAAAAAAGATCACCGGCAATATAAGTTCCCATTTCGAATTCAAGACATCAAAAATATTTCAGGTGGTATAAAAAATTACAAACGCCTGTATAAATATCATCAGCAACTTCGGTTACGATAAATGATCAAACCCCAGCTCGTTTAAAAATGCCTTTGCTCATTTAAAAATGCTTGTGAACTATAACAAGACTGCTCGTATCAGGGCGAAGCCCTGAATGTTCCGACTGCATTTTAAGGTCTATGGAGCAGCAATAACATAAAAAAATTTAATGTAAAAAATATAATATTTTTTTATTTGAGATTTTCTTGAGAAAATCATCCCACCACACGCCACATAAAGTACAAAAGGATAGATTTCGCTCCTTTTAACAAATCAATTACGGCAAATAATCTTCTTTCAACCAATTTGAAATATATCGCGCGTTAATTGTCCCAAATTGGCCAAAATGGCAATCTTTAAACCCCCATAACTTTACGAAAAATGATCACAGCTCTTTTCAAATTTAAGCTTAGGACAACAATACTTTTTGAATGATATTGAAATCCCGTCAAAAATGGCTAGTTAATTTTGTCGAAATTTGCCAGAAAGTCGGAACAATAATTAAGTTCGATTTTCAACTGAAATTCATTCAGATTTTGCGCCATTCCTACTTTAGTAAGAGGAGAACTTAACTCGCCCTTCATTTCTTCAATGAATTCAAAGTGAGTATTAAAACAAAGTCAAAAAGCTGAAAAATATATATGAGCATGAGCAACTATTAAGTTTTTTATTTGAAAGGCAAGGAAAACTCCTAGATTAATTAGCACAATAAATTTAGCAGGGAATTAGCAAATCAGATTTGAAATACAATTAATGCCAACTTACTGGTTTATTGTTTGCCTTCACAGCCTTCTTGATTTCCATTTCCTAAATGCAAAGCGATGACCCAATAAATAAAAGTGCAAATTTTAAAAAATAATCATCGAGTGCTAGTACACTGACTAATTTTTTCTGTTCACGATCATTGGCTGCCCTTTCCTTGTCTAGGTCTCGAGTCACTTTGTTCAGATCCCTGTCATTCTGTCGCATCTGCTCCTTAGCTGAAGAAAAACATAACATCAACATTATTCATCTTTTCATCTCTTTTCAATAGAAGCAGCAAAACATTACACATCTATGCTAAACGAGAAAATGTTAAGTGCCATTATCAGTAATCATCAACCGTGAACCAGTTGGTATCATACATTAACCGTATATTTCAATGAGGAAATCAAAATAACAAATTGAACAACAATCTATAAACAAACAAATGGCTTATAGTCGACGCCATCTTTCAGTTCAAGGCGCCGGTGAGAAAACTTTCATTTGTTTACGGCAAAAAAATTGGAAATTTCACTTCCTGGTAACAACTCTCAAATAAATTTAATTTTCAACAAAAATGGAGAGAAGACTTTCAGAATCAGCAAAAAATAATAATTTGAGACAAATCGATCAACCATTTTTCAGATATCTCAGATGTTGCATCGCGATTATTGCACTCTAAGGCCAGAGCGTTGAGTTTGACGGATGAATCCAACAAATACACAACTGAAGCAGCCGACAGAAATGCAGGCGATCTCAACGCTATTTCAATAGTGGTCAAATCCAACGAGACGCTAGACGCTGATTCTACGGCAATCAAAGCAGCGGAAAAAGTTCAGCCTAAGGGCAAAACGGGCATCCAGAAGTTGCGGAATGCAGTGAAAACGAAGAAAGTCCCGAAGCTTTTTGAGCTGTATCAGCAACTGAGAGGTAACAAAAACTGAAAAATTGAATATACTAATTAAATTCATGAACGACGTCGGTTTAGATTTAAGATTAAGTTAAGGTAGACACGCAGGTAAGTTGATAGCGGTAAAATCAAATATGAAAAGAATGCTCTTATTACTGAAAAGGAAAACTAATTTCAAAGTTTGCATTCCATAATCGGATCTCGTTTTCATATTTTCAGCGCATGTTTGTTATACATATTTTTTGAATATTACTTGTACAGTAACCTCATTGATTGATTACAGAGTGTTTTTAATAACAGCAAGGGAGCAATATCATTGGCCCGATTTCTCAGCAAATGAGATTGAGCCTCAAACTGTTAGCATCAGTTGCGATTGAACTCCGCATACAACTATACCAAGAAAAAGAACGCAGAGTCGAAGATTGCATGTATGACCCGTAGAGCTGACTTAACTAGTGCATCATGTCACAAAATTTTTTCTTCTTTAGCGGAGCAGCAGGTTACGGGGGGCATAGGTCTGGGCGGGAAATCTATTTCGGGGCTGACTCAGTACAGCGGACAGGACATGGAATCCGAAGAAGATGAGATAGATGAGTCAGAGGTAATAAAAAAAAACTAAAAATCTCAGTCACATATTCGGCAAACGTTCAAATAACATTCAAACAGAATAGCAATTGACAGAGATTAAAATACTCAAAAAAGTAATAACAAAGGCCGCAATTTAACAGAATAACAGCATATTGCCATATATCAGATATTAAAATGATCCGACGAAAGTACAAAACGGCGCTTCAAAGTTTATTGAGAAATTAGGGTCAGGAAGAATTTTCTTGAGCAGTTCTGTATTTTTTTTTTCAAGTTAACTTAAGACGATTTATCCACAAGGGAAAGGACCAACACACGAGCTGTTCAGCTCTTCCGCTGTTGTGCTCCTGGTTAAGATTTACATGCAATTTTTTTGGTTATTTTTCTGGGCTGGGTACTGTTGCTTCACCCTCCAGCAACGAGCACGGATGATGGTGGGCCTCGAACATCCGACCTTTCGATTGAGAGGCGGAGACGTAACCACTTCACCACCACTTTTAAGGAAAATAACTCATTTAACAATTTTAGGAAGAGGAAATAGAGTTCCAGCGTCAACAACGTCGCAAACGTGTCAAACTCATGTTGATCCAGAGCACACTGGCTCGAAACCTCACAGACGACAAACAACGAGAACTGACATCTCACATACTCAAGGCGGGAAGTAGAGGCAGTGGCAATGACAAACTTCACAACGAGTTCTATGTTTCCACTCCCGATATCGGCGACAACTATGTCAGTCGAAAGAAATCACTGGACGCAATAGTTAGTGAGTTTCTAGAAGGGAGTGCGTTCAATTTAGAACACACCGCTGGGTTGATTAGTCATGAAGACTATGTCCCGATGAAGGAGAGAACAGCACTTGGAAGTGGTTTGAGGAAAAAGAAAGTGGCACTCAACGACCGCGCTAAGGTGAGTGTATCATTAGTGCTAAGTTAGAAATAAGATTAAAATAGGTCTTTGACATAATATACCTTATTTCGGACGGTCCCTTCAGGCTTTTGATTATGATTTTTGACTACATTTGAGACAATAGCGACACCTTTTGGAAGAAGACAAAGGCGATATTCAAGCACATCGATCTGTACACGGTCGAATCCAAATAGCCCGCGTGAAACGATGATAAGGGTGAAAACGATAAGGAGCGGTTTAAATTTTAAAAATTTGGACTCGGTAAACTGAGCTGTTTGACAATCGCAACAGCATTTAGTATTCAGTCAAGTCTTCTTTCATATAGAACCTATATTTCACAGCTTTGAACGATTTTTTACCATTAGATGGAAGTTGTGTGTTTTGATGCTGCTTTGGCCTTCTGCATCACTTCACGATGCACGAAATTCAAAAAAAACTTCAAGGATACAATTTGAAAATAATTTTTTTTTTCAACTGAAGTCTGCCGCGAAGATTTTTAGAATATCCAATAGTTTTGAGACATCCAATAATTTTGAGTTACACTATCATTAATACCAAATTGTTAGAAATATCGGTGGCCTCCGCCAATTAAACCCGTAAAAAAACGTTGTTTTTAGGTTAATTGAATTTTTGATATGATTTGTACGAGCTGAAAATTGATTTTCATCGTTGATTTCCAACCTGTCATTGACCGAAAAATATACCGCCGATTTTGTCACTAACTAGGAAATTATTGCATCTTTTTGGAACCGTTCTCCTCTTATCTATAGATATTTTAGGAAATGCACCGTGGCTCCTTTACTGTGACCGAGGAAGACGGCGGGGGGACAGGAGAGGTGAGTGAAGTTCAGCAGGGGTCAGAGTTCGAGGACGAGAGGTCTCTGTTGAATGACATGATGATCTATCATCAGTCGGACTACTACCTCGCGGGCCGCAAGAGACAGTCCATATTCATCGGCATTTCAGCAGCTGCCAGGTTAATATTCCACCAATTTAATAATACTATCCAGTGAACCACGCGGAAAATACTTGTAGCAACCTTGTTAAACAACCTTTACGACGTTATCTTTGCATAAATTCTGTTTTGTCGAAAGTTGGCTAATTTCGATAAGATATCTATTATCTTACTAAATAGCCAACGAAAAGACAGTAGAATAAGACAGCTGAAAGACCGTTGAATAAGTATCAATGAACAAGAACACCGAATAAGATGAAAAAATATATGACCTAAGGTTCTATGACTTTCAATATCTGTTATGATTGACACATTTTTGCATATTTTTTGCATATTTCTATTTTCGGAACTGGAGAGCCATCCTCTTAGCAAACAAAATTGAATTGAACTCAAAATTGAATCAAGTCAAACAGCAAGATATTCAAACTGAACTTGCATAAGTTTTTCCTGAAAAAAAAAACGAAAATAAACAGGTTTCATCAGACATTTGCATGTTCGCTTTTTCAGGTTCTATAAAATAGCCAGATGTGTAGCCATTCTGTGCGTCTTCTTCCAGTTCCGGTCCAGTGCGCAGACTCCGTCCGCATTCCGCGGAGTCAGTTTCCTGGCGAGCGCAGACGCCAAGAAACAACAACAGGGAAAACAGAGTGGCAAGGCCAAGGAGAAAGATGGCGGCAACACTGGCTTCATGGCTCAGGCAGTCACTGGTCCTGCTGATTCTCCGATGGCTTTCAACTCTAGTTTGTTCAAAGCAGGCGAGGAAATGGGTGAGCCATTTTCCACATGCATACACTACATTCAGATATAAAGTCTATTCGAAAGACATTCGCTCGTACAGATACGTCCGTTGTCAAAATCAGGGGCTGTGAAATAAGCAGCTTTTTTAAAAATCAATGTTATGACACAGAGCTGAGCTTCACACTACTTGCAATACAACAAGTATAAGATTAAAACAGCAAGAGGCTCAAGAACTATCGAACGTTGTTACCGTTGAATAAAGAATTAGGAACACAAAAATTGAAATTCATTTTATAAAGCTTAAGTTTAATGAAATTTTTTAAAGAGTTCCAAGTGGGGTTGACTTTCAGCAATCGAAAATTGAAGTTTTGTCAATCTCACCAGTAATATGGGAATTTTGTAGGAAACAAAATATTAGGTAAATAAGCCGACAGAATTAAAGACGACAGCCAATAACCAAAATTGTTCGGTAAAATTTTGACTGAACTGTCCAAATAGTATCCATAAGTGCCATATAAGAACTGAATGCAAGGTAGCATACACAATACGGAAACTAAACCGAGAGCTTAATTGACAACATAAAGCCGAAAAACCATCAGCAGCATACCGATATTCTATAACTCTACAGACATCCTAGATCTATTAGAATGAATGGAGATAGTTTTGCAAAACAACATGCCCAGACAATAGAAAGCAAAAAAACTATAGGAGTAAAATTTACCAAGCAGTAACAAAGCCAAAAATACCTGAGCAGAAACCCTTCATGAAAACAAAAAATCTAAGCAAATAAATAAGGTTAACTCCCCTTCCCCTCAAAACACACACACCCAAACAAAACTTTTTTTGGAGATCAAATGACGCAATAAAAGGCCACATAGCCGACATAAAAAAGCTGAAACCCATTAAGCCGAAAAAAAAATGAGAAAAAAATTTAAAAAATCGAGTTCGTAAAATTACAACCAAAACAAAAAGCGAATTTTGATTCAGCCGGCCATTCAAAAAGCTGAAACACTAAAAACAACTACAATGAAATTTATCTACAGCAAAAAAAACTAAGCAGACAAAACATAAGTAGACAAATAGTAAAACGACAACTTTTTTTGAAAACGAATATTTCCCGTTTGAAAAAAAGAAGGTTCTGGTCAGTTTCATACCCAGGAGGTTTGCAGGCATATTCGTTACCTGCAAGCTAAGTGTCCAGAAAACACTAAGAAATTTGAATTCATTATGAACCAAGAAGGTACCACCAGGAGATGAGTCCTGTGAACAAAGTTACTTACGGGAAAAAAGTCTTCTACCAGATTGCAAAACCCTTGCTTATCGCAAGTGTAAAGATAATTTTATCTCTGAAACCAATTTGATTTTCAATCGTGAGCACAAAAATACACGTAAAAAAGCAAGTCTGATACCCAAAATGCAAATTACTCATTTGAAACCAATATGAATCAAATCCTAGTCTGATAAAGTGCGATTCCACAAGTGCCAGAACATACCGAAGATGCGGAACGTGCTAATCGTAACTTGCTAATCGTAACTTTTGTATTTAGGTCTGAAAAAGCGCGCCAGAATTGTATTGAGCAAAATGCCAGAGCAGAGAACGAAGAGCGAGAAGAGTGACACTCTGCGCATGCTGAAGAGTCACATCTCGGGTTTCATAGAGTACCCAGCTAGACTGCAGCACATGCTAGTGGCATTCGGAATCTATGCTCAAATTAGTGCATCCAGGGTCATCATAAAGCAGGGTCAGAACTAAACTTACACAATCAAAGAATTATGACGAGTTTCATTTTGTTCGGTAGAACTTGAAACTATCGACTTCAAGGCGTCAGCCCCATGAAAAATTCGCAATAAACAAATCACTATAAAAACGATCCAAATGTTTTCGTTGCGATTGCCTGAATCTATGATTCCACTGTGATGCCCCGTAAAAGGCCGAATAGTCTATCGATTAACAACTGATTAACCTTTTTTGTCTTTTCTCAGGACACACAGCTGAGTGGTTCTACCTCATTCTGAGTGGCACAGTGTCAGTGCAGACCCACCCTGACAACGACATGAGCACAGTGACGGTGGTTGGCACATTGGGCAAGGGGGAGACCACTGGGGAGATGGAGACTCTGAAGGGGGCTAAGAGACAGGCCACGATGGTGTGCAAAAAACAGGTCGAGGTTGTCGGTCAGTAAAATTTGAACAAAAATCATTCTGCCAGTGCTACAAAATAGATAGACCCTTGCTAAATAGATTTCCTCGCTAAATAGACGCACTACGAATACAATGCATGGATAAATTTCCTGGAAAAAAATAGACGTTAGCCATCAATTTTTTTGCGATCATTTTGTCTTCCAATAGATCCTCATCACTGACTTTTCATGGCAAAACTATTCAAATTTTACTATTTACATTTCGTCAGCCTGACAACTCTAACCCTATTGGTTTTGATTTTCAGGTCTTACACGAGAAGATTTCTGCAACATCTTCATGTACCGACCTCGCTCAGATTTGGACTTCACTTATATTTCCTTTCTCAAATCCCTGGATCTCTTCTCATGCTGGAGCGGACTAGAACAACTTGCGAAACTTGCCGAACCAGATTATGAAAAATGTTTTGTGAGTTACTTCAAACGTGGAAGAGTTATTGCCACTGACTACAAGGAGTGCAATTACATTTATGTTCTGCTATCTGGGAAATGTTCGGTTAGGAAGAGGTTGCACATAAACGACGAGGAGGCGCCGGAGAAGGGAGAAAACATCTGGGATTTGATGCCCCTGAACAAGGATAATATTCGAAGGTTGGAAACGACGAAAATTATATGTCCAAATTTTTCGAGAGCTTAATCAATATAACCAACGCATCTCTCGCATTTCAATTATCTTAGTGAACGTCAATCGATAGATGATATAACTAAGCATACTCATCAAACACTTAACTCTAGGAACCACATTACAATGATGTCAATGGTCCAAAAATATTAATAGAATCAATAAGAACAAAGAAAAATAGCGAAAAAACTTATGTTGAAATTTAAAAAAAAAAACAGATCATGGTGATTTATACGATTTTATTTCAGGTTCAAAAACGGAGACCTAAATCTCACAGTCGAAATGCGCAATCTCTACACTGGCCATAGTTATGGCCTGGAAGGGATCGTTTACAGATCTGAGCTAGAAGAGCTAGGAGTCGTGGAATCCACGAGCGGTGGATCCAGCGAGGCTTCGCTAATCTCCGAATCATGCGAATGTGTCATGATTGACAAGCAGTTCTTTCTTCAACACTTCAATGAAAAGTGTAAGATCAAAATGCAGTCACGCGTTGATTTGTACAGTGAGAAGGGAGAACTGGTGGAACGACTGACCGACCAGGAAACTTGGAGAAAAAATCGAACGAAGATCATCAAGAAAACATTAGCACGATTGGACGAGAAAAAGAAGTTCAAGACAATATATTGATTGCTAAAAAAAGCTAGACATGATAACAAGTATGAATCATTGTTATAGCGTTAGCAAAATGAAATTCAAAGTGTGATCTAACCTTTCTGTTCATTGCTTTTAAACATCATAAATACAAGTTGAAGCTCCCTAGATGTCAATGATTTGTTCACACAATCAGTCTGAAAAAATGAGTCAGTTATATCGAGAACATTGAATTTATGGTAGTAAACCACAACCAATTTCCCTTCAAATGAGCCTAAAAATCATGATATAAGTTAGTACTGATAAAAATTTGCATGCCCGTCTCCATTAATCAATCGGATAGCAAAAAAAATTAGTTGTTGTTCTGATCAAGCTTTTCAAACAATGAAACTTCAAACAATTTCAAGTTGGACCATAGCGTAAATCGGTTTGAAAAAAAAATAAATTTCATAGAACGAATCGGTTCGCGAAAATTTAAAGCTTTTCTAAGCAAGCCATCAAACTTTGAAATGTTTCAATTTGTTTCATGCAGCGAATCGGTATGCGAAAAATTCATTTTTCTCCAAGCAAGTTGTTTCAGCAACAAAATTTTGAAATATTTCAAATTATTTCATGAAGCGGTTCGGATGGCAAAACTTTACGTTTTTCTATTGACATCCAGTTGGTTCCTATACCGAATCGCTTTGCGAAAAGTTAAAGTTTTCGCATGGAAGCTATCCGAGTAAAGAAACTTTAAAATAAATCAAGTTACTTAATAAAAGGAATCGATATAGCGAAAATTTAAAGTTTTTAAATTGTAGCCATTTAAGCGATGCCCCTAGAAGTATTTCTAGTAATTTCATGGAGCAAACTGGTTCCCAAATTCAAGTTTTTCTATGCAAGCTATAAGGCAAAAAAAAACTTGTTTCATACAGCAAATCAAACCGAGAAAATCCAGTTTTTTCTAAGCAAGCTATTCAACTTATTATATTTATTATTGAAATATTTTAAGTTATTTCATAGACCGAATCGGTTCGGAAAAAATTAGTGTTTTTTTTCAAGCACGCTACATTGCTGATTTTAATTGACCGAGAAAAAATGCGCAAAACTTGAAAACCGTCTTTCTCAAACTCGGTTCATTTTAGACAAAAAAAAATGAAGACAAAACTTGATTGGAATTTTAGCTGATTTATTAAGCTGCAATTTGTTTTTCAAAATTCGGACCCAAAAAATTTACCCTAAAAATAGATTATGTTTGGCTTTTTAGTCAACCAAAATATAAGGCTGAAACTACCGAGTCAATTAGTGACAACATTATATCAAAGTGAGCTTCTTGTGGAGCTCAAAAACTTAAAAAAAGGTATTGTCACTAAAAAACAGCAAAACATTTTAAGATAGATTCCATATCACAAGTTGGGAAGTTATATATTAAAAAATGTTATTTTGTGTCTATCAAACATAATTGAAATAATTTATACGTTTTTTGAGATTATATCCTTTTAAGCTTTGAAATAAATTTGCAACTAATTGACTCGGCAGTTTCCGCGTTTTTTTTATTGAATTAAAAAAAGCCAAAAATATTCTATTTTGGGGCAAAATATTGGGCCTGAATTACGAAAAACCACATTATTTCTGCAAAATTGCTATGCAAGTTTTGTCTTCATCATTTACTGTCTAAAACCTATTCAAATTGCGTTGTAGATTTCAAGTTTCATATGCGTTGTTTGGATAATTTAAATCATCACTGCACTTCAGCTATTAACTTTGAAAAGTTAATTCAATGACCGAATCGGTTTGCGAAAATTTCAAGATTTCCCAAGCAAGCTCTCCAAGTTATGAAATTTTGAAATTAATTGTTAGACTGAATCGGTTTGCAAAAAAAATTAAATTTATCGAGCAAGCTATTGCAGCTATAAAACTTCGAAATATTTCAAGTTATTTTATAACTTGAATCGGTTTGTTAGTTAGTTTTTCAAGCATAGAGGTTGCTGTTTTTAGTTAATTCATTTCAAAATGAAATGCATCTGTAATTGCAAAACTTTGGAAAAAAAACAGGACCGGTTATGTCTAGCCTTAAAGTTGAATCGAGTTTATCTTGTTTAAAGAGTTTCGGACTTTTTCCAAAAAGAATACTCCAACACTTCTAGAATAATCCAGGCATTACAATGATTGAAAATTATAGAAGTTCTTGCCTAAATGCCTCTGAAACATTGAGCTCGATGGATGCTCTGAATGGCTTATCAACGTTGAGCTCGATAGAAAAAATAAAAACATTGCATCCATAGCAATAGCGCTTCTCAAAGGCTTCAAACAATTAGTCATCGCCAGCAAACCAGGCCTCTTCGTCATCTCTCGACTTCTCTTCACATAAATCATTTCCGACGTTGCTGTCTATCTCTTGATAATCCACACTCTTCTCTTTTCCATGAAGAAACTTTTGCTGCATGAACAAAAGAAACTCACGGCGTCTCAACTCTTTCGCGGATTCTGACAAATCGCCATTGAACTCGTCTTTTCCGTCGTCCATTTCGTCATCCGAAGAATCCGAATCAAATTCTTCATCAGAATATCCTTGTTTTTCGGTTTCCTCCTTAGTTCTGCCATTTGAACTCTCCCCCAATTGCTCATCCAAAGTTTCTAATAGCTGGTCATATTTAGATTTGGGTTCCTCTGACAAGCTAGCAATTGGCTCACTAATTATTGAGTCTAACTCTTGATTGGATAAAAACTGACCAATCATAGTGTTGTATGCTTCTGGGTCCCGGTGTCTCATTTGTGCCTCCGTGAAGAAAGTACTTTCGTCCATAAGCTTAATCATTGCATGATAACGTCTGTTGCTTCGCGTTTTGTTCGAAATTCGGGACGATTTTTGAATATTTGCTAAAAAGAAATTTATAACTGACTTTTCATTGTCTCCCAAACTAACGCTTGTTTTCAAACAATTTTCAAAATATTCGCAACATCCTTCGTTTAGATATCTGTGATACTTTTCAAGGAATATATGAGGCTTTTCAATTAACTGATGATTAAGAACATTTGTTTTCTCCTCGGTTGTCAGAGGGGTGTCTTCACGTGACTGATTCACAATCCTATGACCACTTGCTAATACTAACCCTACAATACTCGATAAAGTTGAATCATTTCGATCAAGACTTGACTCGCTCATTTAGCCCCAAAAATGACATCAGCACTAAAAAACAAAAATCACGTTTCTCAGAAGGAATCTAAATGGCATATGTATAGCAACTTCATCCCTCTGGGTAATTTATCCAGCCATATTATTTCTTTTGTCTTGTTTTTCAGCATGACTTCTTGATTAAGTCACTTTTTCAACTGATGTGAGTCTTTGTTTTAGAGAACTGAATTTCAGAAGAGCTACAAGCAGTTTGCCAGTAAACCAATGCGAAGATAATGTGACGATGGGACAACCACAAAACTAAACATAGCCCATCGTCGAGACTTATCAAGCAAACACCTGCCGGAAAAAAAACTACGTCATCATCAAACACATTTTGATGAATATGATCGTTTCGAAGAAACTGCCTTCCCCCTCCTAAAACTCACGGCGTAGTACCGTTAAAGTCGTCTGAGCAAGATTGTAACTTAACCTCAGCATGTGAGGAGAAGGCAGCAATTAATTCAAGTTGAACAGGATAGGAGAAAGAAATGAGCCACGAGGGAAGCCTATACGCCTCATCACCTGTCACTGACGTGACTATTTTGAAAAGCCATTATTTCAAGGCATTCATGAGATTGAACTAAACTTTCCTTTACATGAGGTTAGGTGAACTGAGTTTCGATTTACGCGCAATAGCTCAAAAAATAGATCAACGATGCAAAGTCAACGACGGTTACGGTTAAACTCAATTTTTATGCCTAATTCTTCGGCCTTCACGGTATTGAAGAGCTACTGCAAATATATGAGTATGTCTTCACAAGACCTCAATTCTACACGATAGAATTCTCTAATCTCTTTGCACGACCAAATTTTTTGAAATGTTTTTGCTGGTATGCTACTAACTAATTCTGTACCTCCGATTCAAATTTCAGACTCAAAATCCTCAATATTGCAACTGGCACAAACAACTTTCAACGGCCACGAAAAGGAAATATTTGTGATCCTCCATAAATTAAAAAAGAATTTAAATTTAACTCGCTGAAGAACTAAACACTAACTTATAACTACGAAAGACTACGACATCACCGATCCTCAAAAGGTATTTCACGTTCTTCAGGCCCGAACTCCAATTAAGTGGCTCGTCTGAAAGATTCGCCATGGTGTATACACGATTTTTTTTTACGAAGCACCAGTTTACACATTTAAAAGAAACTTATTGTTGAATGTCAGTGAAAAGCTTCGCTTCGACTTTAACAAAATTCCTAACCATTTTCTGTTTACTTATCTATATCCGGAAAACCAAAACCTCTGCACTGCAGTAAAAAATGTAAATCAAAGTTGCGCATCCAAAACGGGAGCCGTAAATTATCTCAACACAGATGCGACACCATTTGTAATACTACACACGAACATATCATGACAGACTATCCGACAGAAAATCAGACGAAAACCTCCAAGTCGAAGATTAGAAAAAATAATAAAAACTAGCAACGTTTTCATAATTTGTCTCGATTTCTTTCTGTTAAAATTCATCATCATCTGAAAAAACGTGCCATCTAAGAATCATGTTTTTCAATAAAAAAAAATCAAGTAACCATCGAAAAAAGTTATGAAGCGGTAAAAAAGCTGAAAATTCTTGAGCAGGCCCCAAGAGTACAAAAATATATCTACATTTAGAAATATTAGAACACAAAAAAGTGTCCAACTCCTCTACTCTAGACAAGAAGTTAAAAACAAATAGCGTGTAACGCACCTGTGGTGCTTCGAAATTTCAACAACTCAAAAAATTATTCTTTGAGTGTACTCTGACAGCACCCAATTACAAATATTCAAGTTTTTTTTACAAGTTTTGAAGAACCATAAAATTTTGTGGAGTTTTATATAAGTTCTTTGGAGAATTTAAAATGAACTATGAAACGTCACATCTGGGAAACTGAAAGCAATTGAGCAGTCGCATTTGAACGCAAGATTTGCAACTCCTGAGAGTACTATTACAGTACCCAACTACAATGTTGGGAAATTCAAATTTTGAGAAACCTCACCTTAAGTTTTCTTTTTTGAGGACAATATTCGCAATCTTTGAAAGTACACAACTACAGGGTTGGGAATTTCACTTTAACGAATTATTTTGTAATTTGAGTTTTCTGAACAATTCCAAAAAAACCCACAAAAATCGTCGTATCTCTTAAAAAAAAGATTTTGGCATTCTTAACTGGAAGCCAAATTTCCAACCCCTGGGATTACTCTGACAGCCTCCCAACAACAGGTTAGGGAATTCAAACTTTGAAAAAAAAACAATTAATTTAATTTTCATGAAAATTTTTATGAAAAAATCACAAAAAACGTCATATCTGGAAAACTACAAGAATTTGAGCAGTCAAATTGGGAGGCAAAACTTGGAACTCCTGAGAGTACCCTGACAGATCCTCACTACAGAGCTGAAAATTTCAAGTTTTGTGAAATTTTTTATACTTATGTTTTATGAAAAATTTTGAAGAAACCTAAAAAAAAACGCCATATCTCGAAAACTACAAAAATTTGAGCAGCCATATTCAGAGGCAAGATTCGCAACCCTTGAGGGGACCCTCACAAAAACCAACAACAGGATTGAGATCTTCAACGTTTTGAAAATTTTTTTTAAATCTAAGTTTTTGAAATTCTTTTTAAAAAATCATAAAAAACGTCATATTTCGAAAACTACAAGGATTTCAGAAGTGAGAATTGGAGGCAAGATTCACAACCCCTGAGAGTACCCTGACAGCATCCAACTACAGGGTGAGAATTTCAAAATCTCGAAAATTGCCTATCTCGTAAACTAAAAGGATATTGTTATTCATATATGGAGGCCAGAATCGCAAAACCTGGGAAAGCTCTGACAAAATCCTACTATTGTGTTGCTAACTTCAAACTTGATGAAATAAACACTGAATTTAAACTGGAAAATCGAAAAAAACCTTAACCGTTGCAATATACGATATGGCTTAAACGTGAAAAAAAATCTTTTGTTAAACACGCAAAAACAATACGTTGAAAAAGCTTAAACACGGCGAGATAAAGAAGCCCGCATTTAAATATATAATAGATAGATAGATAATAGATGGAAGTTAAAAAATTAGGCGACGGGTAGACAGACAATCAAATTAATTTAAAAAGCAGGTATACAGACAGACAGACAGACTTAATATGGCCTCGAAAAAAACTGATGAAAATATAATGACCTTGCGGAAAACTAAATGAAAAATTTTCTTAAGCATGGCAATATATGATATAGCTTAAACATGAAAAAATTCTTTCGTTAAACATGCAAATTATTATGCTTAAACATGGGAGATAGCTGTCACTCGCATTTAAATATAGTATAGATAGATAGATAGATATAGATATATAGATATAGATAGATAGATAGATAGATAGATAGATAGATAGATAGATAGATAGATAGATAGATAGATATAGATAGATAGATAGATAAAATAAACACTGATTTTAAACTGCAAAATCGAAAAAAAAACTTAAGCATTGCAATATACGATATAGCTTAAACGTGAAAAAATTCTTTTGTTAAACATGCAAAAATAATACGTTGAAAAAGCTTAAGCATGGCGAGATAGTGAAGTCCGCATTTAAATATATAATAGATAATAGATGAAAGTTAAAAAATTAGGCGACGGGTAGACAGACATAATCAAATTAATTAAAAAAGCAGGTATACAGACAGAAAGACAGACTTAATATGTCCTCGAAAAAAAATGAAAAAATAATGACCTTGCGGAAAACTAATTGAAAAATTTTCTTAAGCCTTGCAATATATGATATAGCTTAAACATGAAAAAATTCTTTCGTTAACCATGCAAAATTATTATGCTTAAACATGGAAGATAGCTGTCACTCGCATTTAAATATAGTATAGATAGATAGATATAGATTTTTTGCCCATCGAACGACGCAATTTGTCCAGTTAGCCGACATACGGCCGTTAATACAATATCACTCTATTAGGCAGTCAAAATTGGATCAAAAAGACAGTCTCTTTGGGAAAATATGCCAAGCATTTTACCTTCTATGAAATCAATTAAAAGCCACCCCATTATTCACGTAATCTATTTCTTTCACCTAGGTGCTCAGCTAAATTTGGAACTATCTGCTTGATGCTTTTATAAAATGTACTCATGCGGGATGAAATACTTAATTTTAAAAAATTCCAAAAAATGAATTTACCAATCTGAGTGGTTTCTTTACTTGAAAAAAAAATTTGAGCTTTCTTCGAAAAAATATTTACTACTCGTTCTTTCACTGGAACTTAATGTCAGATTTAAATTTCAAGAAAAGCGGAAAAAATTCCTTAAAATATTTTTCCATGCCGGCGGCTTATCTACAAGAAAAGGGTAAATCCAACTATGCAGAAAATATTTGAAATTAAATATTATTTCAAATTAGCCTCAATAAGCAGGGCAGTTTTAACCTCGGCTATAAACCTTTTACCTATTAACCTCTACAGCGGGACATTTTTCAGAAAAGAAAAAGGCGTCCACAGAACGCTCCATATCTCAAAACTTTGACTATTATAAAGTTCCTAACAGTTGTTCTACAAAAAAAGCTCATGTGTAATTATGCAGAAAAATTCCCACAATATGTTCTTTCGATTTAACCTATAGCGATAAGGCCATTTATGCAGAGAAAATAGAAAAAAGTTGAGACCACTTCCGCAAGCAAAATAGTCGCAACCTATCTTTTTGACTGAGCCCTTAAGGTCAGATTTAACATGGTAGTTTCTAAGAGGTTGGTTACAAAAAAAATGCCTAAAAAGAAACGAAATTGAAAATTGACTCAACGGTATCGCAAATCGGACTTTGCCTAAAACCTAAGTTGCATCTCCACTAAAATAACTGAGAAAAGAATCATTTAAGAAAATCAACTTTTTGATGGACAACATAAATATCTCACAAAAATTAAGGAGGCGTCGCTGCTGCAGGAAAAAATCTCGCAACCGGTTTTTTCAAAAAAATCAATCTGAGATTTAATTTATTAGCATTTCGATAACGTTTTTCAGCAAAAAAAAGCCGGTCGAGACCATTAAGATAAAGAAGATTCAGAGAAACGGGTTTCTCGATTGAACACTCAACCTGACAATCGGTAAGGTAGTATTCAAGTTCAAAAAATTCCGGAGCGAAGAAATTTTTAACATTATGACTTCTTTGAAGACCATGACCTGTTTTTTTAAAAAAAAAATCGCTTACCCAATTATAAAGAAGGCTGTCAAACCTGTTGCTTCGATTAAACCTATGATATTAGATTTGGCAGAATAGTTAGCAAGAAAAGCCCAGTAAACGGTCAACAAACGAAGAATTTGACGTTTCCGAACATCATAGGTTTTTGTATCAAAAAATAGGGCGTGGCCGCTTATGCAGAAAGGATTCACGCAATCTTTTCGATTTTTCCGAGGGCCATAACTATTGGTCTCAAAAAATGGTCGTAGTCGCATAACCAAATGAGCTTCCTAGAACCCGTTCCTTGAAATGAACAAAAAATCTTAGATAAGGCAGGGTGGTTTTTGATATACTGAAAATGTTTTTAAAAAAGGTTAAAAATCAAAAATTCTACTTTTCTGAGGGCGATAAATTTTGTTAAACTGTGAGTAGCCGCTAAAACAGAAGAGCTTCCCAGTACCCGTTATTTTCATTGAAACAACAGAATCAAATTAGAGCGGTTAGTTTTCGAGAAGATTAACAAAACGGTCAAAATCTGATACTTGACAATTCCGAAGGCCATAACTTTATGAGTAAAAAAAATTTGGTTGTAGCCACTTATACAGGTAAGCTTTCCATTGAAACCAAAAACTCAGATTTGAGAGGAGCAGTTTTCGAGAAAACAAAAAATCAAATTGGGTCAAATATTCCCCCCACAGACTTTTTCGAAGGCTGTAGAAGAGGAGTCAGATCAAAAGAGACTCCAGGGGAGTATGCAGCCACAATGAGCAGAAGGCGGTCTTTTAATAAACATCCCTTTTTGGAACATCAAAAGTTTTCGAGAAAAACTACAAATTTAGCAAAACTAAAAAAATGAAATTGCAACATCGATTGGTTAATATAGAACTAACTTGAAAATTGCGGAGGGGAGTGTTAAAATTGAATTTCTCACAAAACTGCCCAGAATGAGATCATTGAGCCGACAAGTAAAATTAGGTCAAGCAAAGTAAAATTACAAATTGTAGGAGTAAACCAAATACTACAAACAATATTAAAGAAAAATGTGCGCAGTTAAAATAACTATTCCAAGATGAGACAACTAAGCCGACAACGAATAAGCAGACAAAGAATTGGTCAACAATTATATTTGAAATAGTTCCCGGTTGAAAAAAAGGTCCTGGTCAGACTGGTGGAACCCGGGACCTTTGCGGTTGGCCGGGAACGCTGAGAAATTTGAATACATTATGAAACAAGGTACCACTATAGATGAGTCGAGATGAGTCTTGCGAACAAACTTAATTACAGGAAAAAAATCTAGTACCGGAGTGCAATATATTTTTTAGTTAAATTTTATTTAAATTTTTACAAGAGGTCCTAATGGGGTTGACTATGAGCATTCAAAAATTGGTGAGTCTTATCGATATCAAAAAAACTGCCGGGCGTATGAAGGAAAATAATACGGTAAATAAGCCGATTGAAATCAAGCCGACAGCCGATTACCGGAAACTCAGCCAAAATTTGTTAAAAAATCATATTGGAAAAACTGCAAGTAACGCCCAGATATGATTCACGATAGCTATATAAATAGCCCGTCTAAACTAGAGTACAGAATTTGGAAACTAAACCGACAGAGCTTAAGTCGACAACCATGAAGCAGAAAATCATGAGCAGAAAATTTGTATCGAAACTCGATATATTTACCAGTAGTAACTAGTACCCACCCAGTAGTTAAATTCAAATTTTCATGAAATTGAGATGTCAGCTGCATAGCAGCATCATACGTGATTCAACTGATTTCGTTAAAGTAGTTGTAAGCCCGAATTTGATAACCCTTACTAATGGTAAGCATAATAAAAATGCCAATTCAGACACCTTCTTTAAAAGCGCCACCAAAAATCCGATTTGATAACGCTTGCTAATCGCAAGCGTAATAAAAATGCCAATTCAGACACCTTCTTTAAAAGCGCCACCAAAGTTAGCACATTTACGACTTAGGTTGGAAAAAAAGCATCCAAATAGTAACCACACTACGCTGCGCATGTGTAACTGTAAAAAGACATTAAGCTACTATAAAACTGATTTTGCGGCCCAGTTGCAGAGAGGGGGCGAAAGTAAATTTTTGGCCGTAAATTACTTTCAAAATTTTTTTCTGGTGACGCAAATTTTATTAAATGTATAAAAAACACTTCAACTTTTAGCATATAAAAGCATAATCCAACGCTTTTGCACGTTTCCCTCCAGACTATCCTTACAGTCAGCCTGTTTTTGATTCGGAATACTGAGAAATCTTTAGACTTCACATGTTGTGACCCGCGTTTTGAGGGCGCTCGACGGAAATCTTCTGTAAATTGTTTTGATGTTTTCCGAAGAAATTATGTCAAAATCCAACTTTAGCTGTCTTTTTTAAAGTATAAATTACATGATCCTCTATGCTGACATTCGACACCATTTGTATAAAAAGCACGAATCAGTGTTTTTTTTCTGATTGAACAGAACGCATGCCTTTTCTGTATGGGTCATTTAAGTAAAGGCATTGAACTTGGTTATATTTTATGTTGCAATTTCCCCTTCACTCAATTTCCGGTCGGCGACCCGTTCTCAAAACATGTAACGAAATATGTTTTCTCTAAGAGACGCAATTGTGAAATGAGAACACGCCGACCAATCCAATCTCCAATTCATATCCTTTACTTCGCGGTTAGTTTATATTATTTTACGATAAATTAAATTCAGAAAGAAGAAAAAAAGAACTAAAACTAATTGATAAACTCAGTTTGAATGCAAAATAAAGAAGTAGATACCAGCACCATTCAAGGACATATAGACTCGAATCTTTAACCTCAGTAACAAATTCCAGCTACAAAACGGAAACCTTGTGCTTGATCGTATGTAAAAACGCAATTGCGAACAACCGTTATCTGCCATTTTGCTTCTTCAATCACATTTCTTGCAGTGAAAATTTCATACAACTGATTCTATTGATATATACTTTTTTGCTCTATTTGATCTGTTTTTTTTTGCAAAAAGTTCTGCTATGCACTTCTTTCATTAACATTATCGCCCATAATTTAATCTTTCAAAATTTTAAAGGACGATGAACAATAGATAACCGTTTTGATTTGACCAAATTCTTGTTAAAATCTTCTGAATAACATCAACCAATGTAAGTATTGATTAAACACCTTGAACAAACTAATGATTTCATCGAACCCAAAGTTTGAATATCTGACTAAAATTTTCTTGCTACTGAAATCTAAGCTAAATGAACATTTTCAAGTTTATGCCACTGCGCCAAAGCCCATGGTTCTGTGCATTGTATAACTAGCTCTTCGCACACATTTCGGGCAAGGCGCATAATCAGACTTGCATCTTTTGTGAAAGACGGTGTGGCATTTCTCACACGTAGCCGTTCCTTCGACATCAAAAGCGTAAATAATCTCCGATTCCCGACAGATCTCACATATAAATCCTTTTTGCTTGCAAACCACACACGTGCTAATATGTCTTATGCAGAAGTCCAGCACTCTTTGCAAGTGTGTTTGCAGGTATCCCGTTTGTATTTGCAGGAGATCCTGAACACTATAAAGATGCAAGTTACTCAGCATGTAATCTTTCGGCCAGAGACGACTTTTCACTTCGTTTGAAGTCGTTTCAGAGCACGAAAAAAGATAATTAGCTGCGTACTTGAGTCTTTTTCGTTTATCAAACATAACCCTCAGAGGCTGAATGTATTCGTACAGATTGTTATTGATAACATCGAAATCAATCAATGGCTCGTTTTCGACTTCAGTTAGGAATGTTTTAGCCGCACAACACACTTTATAAGGCGTGAAATCCCAGTTGTTCACAATGTAAGCAGGAATCACTGCTTCATCATCAGAATGACATCGAGCACAGTAATATTTCGAATCAAAAGCGCAAACTTTAAATTTGCCGTATATGGTACCAATAGGCGAGCTACACCCCTTGCACATGTAATTCTGAGACGGCAAGCCTTTCTCATGGGTCAACGTTGTGTAGATGCTCTTGAAATCACTCGTAATCGATTCGTTCAAATCATGTTTATCGACTCCTGGTTGAGGAATTAGTTCAAAATCTTGTGAACTACCTGAAGGTTCCCTTGATTTTTCTTCTTTATTCACACGCAAATGTAATTCCGATGGATTTTGATGAGCTTCAGACGACACAGGCTCACAGGCAACTTCCGGTATTCTTGGAACTGAGGTGCTTTCGTTACGCACGATTCTGTTTCCGATATGCGGTAAGCCCATCAACGCGTACAGATTCGGAGAAGATCTCGCTGTATCTGTCCAAGTTCCGTCTCTATTCGCTATGACATTACCAGGTGGTGATGGAGTAACACGTTGAGAGAAATCACTCACGTCAGCATCATTAGCTCCTCCTGTTATGGACGACATCGACGCTATTGCAGACGCGTCATCGTCCACAGCAAACATCACGCTGGCGTCGAAATGGTACACTTCTGCCATCGGTTCCGGGGAAAATCTAGCCTCCATTTGTCTACCGGAATCTTCTGCTTCGGGTTCACCTTTTTGAACTTTTTCGTTTCTTTCTTGAACAGGGTCATTTCTTTCCGCAATTGTAACTTTAGCTAGTGACAAATCATCGTCGAAAGTATCTTCGTCTTCAAGCTTGACTTTAGACTCAGACTCAATAGCTTTCTCCAAATTCGATTGATTCAAATCATCAGGCGTTTTGGAACCTGAAACCGAACTTCCTGCTTGACTTTGCTCTTCTTCCATATTGAATTCACTGCCTTCCAAATTCTTGGAACTCCTGTCTGCTATATCTACTAGTGATGTATGTAAAGATTCGGTTGAAGCTCTGGAGCTACTAGTCGTACTGAAAGTCTTTTTCGACTTCCCATTCTTCTTCTTTCTTCTTCTACGAGTAATCACAATGTCCAAGTCTCCGGCAGTCGTAGCGCTGACATCTTGGTCCACATATCTTACAGGTTCCGCCTGAGTCTCCTCTGGTTTTTTGCTAGCTGCAGCCGGAACAGTTTTGGGTATCGAGTCAGGCGGAAATAGAACAGGCAAGTTTGTCACTTTGAAGTATCCCGCCAACTCTAAAGGTGTCGTACCCCATGAATTAAGGAGTGAAACATTATGAGCTATTTCAAATTTGTAGTTGTCGATTCCAAACAATAAACCAGTTATCATAGCTACCTGGTCCGACTGAAACCAAAAGGCCTCCTTATTGTAAAACTTCTTCCTTATTTTCATTTCCCCGTTCAAAATAAGTTCAACATAGGACGAAAATAGACCGTCATTTAAAGCCATTCGAATCCATGATCTACACAATCCAGTTTCATTTGTAATGAACTTCAAAGCGCCTAGTTGGGTTGACACATCACTGTGCGTGAATTTGAGAACAAAAGGCCAGAACGATGGAGCCACAACTTTCGTGTTCGTAGCTGGGTCAACCACTTTGTTCGTTGAATACGGGCTCTTCAAACCGAACAGGAAAATTGCCTCTAACACATAGCAGAGCGAATGAGTTACGTCCGAGGACTGAAAACTTGTTGTTTGTGTCGCTGTTGCATTGAACAGAAGCTTTTTAATTACCAGCTTCAAATTATACAGAATATTATCGCGCACTTTGGCAGATAAATCAGAACCATTTGAAGACATGCAAGTCTAAAACGGAAAACATCAATCAATTCGTACATCGCCAATTCAGATATTATTAGTCTACTCACTAAAACTTAGGAAGCAATAAGAAACCAAAAACCCTAACTAGAAGTCTAATTGAGGCAGAAAATTGGACGGACTGGAACACCGATTGGACTTTTTTTAAACTGTAAATTTTCAAATTTCACAAATTTCAACAGAGAAACACCAGGTTTTCAGTCGAGAGCTACAATATAACACCACTTGCGCAATCAATTTGAAACATAGAAGTGAGGAGGAATTTCGCATTACTTGCAATTCCTTAAGTAAGAAACAAAAAGAAGTTGAATTATCCATACTCAAAAATCTGCAGATAAAATAGCGAAACTTATTGAAATCGTTGCCTCAAATTATTCTGAAAATTTTGTCATCTAATATTCTCAACAAATATGTAACCAAACAAGGCTAACCGGTTACTGCGCAAAAAAAAAACACAAAAAACATTGGTGTGGTAAGGGGATCTGAACGCAAGCGTAGAACAAAGCCTTTTTGAGGCTTCAAATTTTTTAGGCTTTGCGGCTTATGCAGGGAAGATTTCAGCTACATTTTAGTTCGATTGTACCCCTTAATCCCAGATTTGAAAAGTGTGTCAAAAATTCCCCCAAAGATTTTTTCGAAGGCTTTAGAAAGTGGAGCAAGGTTTCGCATGAGTACTATAAGTACTTTCCATAAGTACTACTTTTTCAAAATTCAGAGAGCAGTTTTGAGAAATTAAGTTTTTTTTAAGAAGTACAAAAATGCATAATAACAGGGATAGCCGGTTACTGTGCAAACAAAACAGAATGTTCCGACCATAGTCTTGAAGAAAAATTGCAAAAAAAATTAAGTTTTTAACCCTAATCCGAATACAAAATTGGTCCTCAGTTTCAATTGTCGGAACAAAATAAACCCCATACAATTTCAAAAAACCTTTTATTATCAAACAGCATTTTAAACCTTAAACCGTTTGAACAAAAAATGATCAAGAGGCGAAGGTGTGCTTCGCACACAAGCGAAAAAAAACGCAACGAAGAACCTTTATTTTTCCTTATTTAAAAAATAAGTAAAATAAGTACGCAAATAACAAAATTCAAAATCAATGCCGCAAAACATTCGGAGAGAATTTTGTCTTAGAAATATGTAAATAAAACAAGGTTAACCCTTTGCTGAGCGGTTAAATTAAAGCATAAAAAGTTTCGTTTTTTTTTTCTTGAAATTTGTCATTTTTGTCAGTGGTTTTATAAAAAGATCTGGAAAGGCCTATAACTTAGGTGGGTTCGATAGTTATATTAATTTCGGTATATTTGACATACTTTATTTGGTATATTTTATTCCAAAGAGTGCGCTAAAATAAAGCTTTTTTTGAGACAAAACAACATTTTCACCGATATTGAATAGAAGCTTTTCTTCCTAAAAATCAAATGATTTTAAGACAAAATGTGCTTTAATATGATCAATAAAAGGTTGAAAATTAAAGGTCTTTCATAAGATATATCACCCGACCTATTCCGATGATTATTTGTGATACCTAAGTTTGCGTGGAAAACGGTTCAACATTTTTTTATAAAAAAATCCGAGACAAAAATCCTCCCCAATTTAAGTGGCCGAAACAATAACCAGTAACAATGGGGACTAATAAAAAAAGCTTGGAATCTTTTGAAAAAACTACTAGAGCATATGATTTATATACACAAAACAGTGTTCAATTAAAGAATATCAATTAACCGCTCAAAAATCTTTAAGGATTTATTTTTTTGACAAAAAAATCATTTTTCAAACATTTTAAAAAGAAAACTGGATCAATAGATATTTTTTTAATTAAAACAAAAAATCAAAATCCAATTTCGAAACTTTCACATTTTTGGCCGCGTTTCAGCTTTCTCAATTGTACGCCGAAATTGGACCTCCTCTTAGCATATGAATATGAGCTGAACTTGAAAGAAATCAGAAGTCAAACAGCAAAAAATCAACTCACAAAAGAACCCAAAAAAATCATCACGACATATTGAAGTGTCTTTACTACGTTCATTGACATTTTATAATTTTTAAAATTAGCAAAAAAGAATTCAAGCTTTACATGTGTTTTTGATTGGCAGAGCCAATATCTATTTATATTATAAATTTGAAAAAATTCGAAATTCACGCATCTCGAACAATTTGCGTTCAATCAAGTCAAAGGGAATTAATTTTACAATAATAAACTGTTACTAAACTATTTGGTATTAAACTCAGCTTGACCTTGAATTTCCAATTCAATGATCATGAACAAGAAACAGTTTTAACGCGGCATCAGATTGATACCTCAACCACGTCACTTTAGAAATTTCTTAAACATGTCAGTCCGTCCAGTAAAGAGCCAATGGGCAAAAACGTATCGAGACTTTTAGAGGCATCAACGTTTTTACAGCGGCGAAGCTGCACTTCGCAAATACATGCAAAAATGGCAAACGGTAGATTGAAAACGCAAGAAAACATAAAACTAAGCATCTAAGCTTTGAAAAAAAAGCTCTCAATTTCATGAGCTTTCTTTACGTTATTGGGTTTTTCATAGATTTTGAGCCTCTAATTGATGTTTAGGGAATATTTAAATTTAAAACATTGTTGAACGTTTTTTAATGTGTCTAATTTATGCATTTCAAAATCATGCTTATCTAATTATCTGATACCATTCTTAAGTTGTGCATAGTTAAGAAGAACGCTTTATCTGAACTAAACTTGCCTAAATTTTTGCAAATAAACATTTTACAGATAGGAAAATAGTGTTTTGATGTGCTTGTAAAGTTTATATTTCGGCCTGAAATCCCTTCGGCTGAAAATCCCGTCAGCTTGTTATCCTAGACCCGTTTTCATAACTGCGGCATAAAATCACTTTAAAAAGCGAACAAAATAAATGCTATTAAACCGCAAATGCCAAAATACTGGCGTGCTATGCAACAAAAGTCATGATTTTGAGCATTTTGTGAATTAAGGTGGACAGAAATAGTTCGGAAGATCAAATTTTATATAATTTAACTCCACCAAAAATATCACCAAAATTAACCCGATAAAACGCACACTAAAAAGCTATCCTAAACACTCCGTCATTTTATTCGAAAGTGACACCAGAATAACATGTTTATAGATAGACTATAAATTTTTAAGGTTTAACAGTATTTATCATACTTCATGATTCTTCCACAGAAGCAAGCAGTATTATCTTATTAGAAAAGAAAGATTTTAGAAGAAATTTTCAACATAGTTCGCAAAATATTCATACATCACAATTAAGCACGAAGTGAAACTTGCAAAAACTTTCGCACTAAAGCATTCAAAACTTTTAATAATCAATTCAAATACCATTTATAAATATTTAAATGAAGCTAGCAGCTTAATTATATAACTTTTGGAGGGGATATATACTTTTAAATTTACAACAAAACCTAATTTCTACAAAACAGAGCATTTTTGACATTTATAGATAACACAAAAAGCATGCAAATATTAGAATGAATCAGAAAATGGAGCATTTACTATTATGTCAAATATAATTGCGTTTTTCATTGAACAATTTTGAAAAAAAAAAACCTATTTGGCTAGCATCAATTTCCGATGACCTAATTTTTCTTCTCCGAAGCTGCTTTGGGAATGACGGGATCAACTTTGTGGGTCGGTGTCAACGACGCAGGGCTACTATAGTTTAACTGCTCATGATATTCAGGGTACCAACGCGTAAAATTCACCGGAAGTACCCAGAGAGCCCCATTGCTTACTCCCGCCAAAACAAATTTGTTATCCCAACTGAGCTCGACTGACTTGATGTTCAGATTTAAAACTCCATCTTGGCTTTGAGGTGAGAAATCGTACAAAAATTCTAGATCATGTGATCTGTAAACTTGGAGACAGTTCGAGTCTCGGGCTACTATAATAAAGGCGCCGTCTAAAGAAGCCGAAACGTCATTGATTCTTGCGTTTTTGAATTCGTTTTCACTAGCCAAAAGCACACCATCAGTTGTAAACACAGAAAGTGACGATTTCTTATTCGATACTACAAAAATGTATCCAGTAGCTGGGTTCAGGAGAATGTTCGAAATGGCAGAACAGTTAGGTTGATTATCTATTTCTGGTAACTTAATTCGCCTCACGAACTCCCCGTTGACTAAATGCACTAAAACATGTGATATGTCTGAAGTTGATACTACTATTCCCAATTCAGATGAAGTAGAAACACATTTGACTGAGCTCTCGTGACCCATCAAGATTGCTTTGGCCATTGGGTACTCCCCGGGTATTGTTTTCTCACCCATTATACACTGGAACCTCGAGTTCCATTCCCAAACTAGTAGTGTGTTGTCTGCAGATCCCGAAACTACATGGCAGTTACCACCGGTTCGATTCTCAGTCCTGGCAACACAAGTTACTATTCCATAATGTCCAAAAACAACCTGGACTAGTTTTCCCGACTCCAGATTGAAAACCCGCAAACTACGATCCCAAAAGCCACAAACTAGAACGTAAACATTGTCAGAAGTCACTACAAAACTGTTCTTCTGCACCGTGAAATTTGTATCGAGTAAATCTGAGCACAACTTTCGCCCAGTATAACTTGCTTGGGTTGAATTGACTTGCATCGAATCTACGTGCAGAGGCTTTAAATTAGTGTGGTTTTCGTTTTCGAGGTTCTGATTTTGAACCATGTGCTTCGCAAGAATTCCCACAGAGTTCGGGTTTTCCCATTTGTTTATAGAGTAAGACATGTTTTCCGCTAATGCAATACAAGCGGGTGAATTTAAACTTTGATGAGTATTTGCGGCAACGTGAACTATTGGCGAATTGGACAGGAACTTCACTGTGTGCCCTTCAGACGCTTCGTTAAGTTGCTTAAACAACTGAGGATTCAGAACTAATATCGAACTTCTTTGAGGATGAGGTTCGGTCAACAATTGCACTGGGGTTGTTCCAAAGCTCCTAATCTGTGACTGCAAAGCTTCCAACAATACTGGATCTCGGATTGCATCAAAATTTACCGACCCTTCATAGGTCAAATGGTAGAAAACATTAACTGCTTTTTCAGCTTCAAGACCGCGCTGTTTGTAGCCAAATATCAGATCTACCCAATGGTTCAGCTGGCAGGATACGAACTCGGATTCTAGCGCCATTCGGTGCTTTCGAATGAAATCTTCGGGCGAGCTAGACCAGGCGGGCAAAATGACGTCATTGACGACTTCTCCATTTTCTAGCTTGCCGAATTTCAGTTTATTTCTATTGCGTAATATTTCAGGCATGTAAAACAATTCTGGGATAAGTTCTTTCACGTCTGAAGTATCTCGTTGACAGTTTGACCACGCTTGTTTCACGCAGTGGAATGTTCGGTCGGCATGATCAAATTTACCGCCTTGGAAGTTCAGAAACATCGAAGTGAACGGCTCGCATCGCACCATCCAGTTTAGAACAAAACCAGGGGTTGAATAGTGTGTTCCGTAGTGAAACGGAGGGACTGTATCCGATTCCCATTTTTCATACTTGGCTCGAAACGCTTCTGCTCGTCGATTATCTTGAGCTCCTATAGGTTTGGTCAAATCCCTGAAAGTTGCCGGCGATTTTAAATCAAGCTCGTCGGAATCGTAGTCTTTTATAACCCAAGGGAACACAGGGTACTGATTTAAGTCGTTAAACGTGCGACCTCCAATTGTGTTAAGAAACATCAGATATTGGAAATTTGAAATTTCCCGCTTTTGCCATTTTTCCATCATGTTGGTTAACTTGAGCAATGCTTTGCCTGAAGCCATAGAGTATCTTCTAGTTTGCTGGGCCCCAAATTTAGTGCCGATGCCAACACGTGGCAAAAGGGTAACAGCCTGTTTCACAGCCGCTATATCGGGCAAATTGAACATAATTGCCGACCGCGTTGCGACAAATATCTCCAGAGCTGTATTTTGCAATAAGTATCTCCGTGAGAAAATGGCTCTAATTTCAGTGAATGGGATCTTAATGTGGGTTAAATCACAATATGCTATCAACGATGGGTCAATTTTCTTGTATTGTGGATTTTCTTCATCTATGTCAAAAATGATTTCGTTAGTCGTGATCGAAAGCATACCGGGTGCTGTTATGCAAGGGTGAATGAGTAGGCATTCATGGCTTTGGAACTTCACTGGATTCGTAGTCGAGGGAATATTGATCAAATGAGATTGATTTTCAGCATCATTATCGTTATCTTCTAGACTATCATTTTCTTCTTCCTCTTTTAAAACTTTATCTTGGTTCTCCGCCATCGGTTCCACTTTTAAGTCTTCCAGGGCACTTTTCGATTCTTCCACTTTATCAGCATCTGTGTCCTTTCGGCTTTCATCTTCGGCTTTCAGTGTCGCTTCCGGGTGACTTGTTCCATTCGGATTCAAAATCATTCTTCTTCGTCTCCGCAGATTATCTTCCCATGCGTCAATTTTATAAAATGCTTCCGTTTCATTTGACTTCTTATCCCATAGTGCTTGACTAAATGCACTCGAAAGTATTTTCTGGACACACTTGACGGAAGATATAGTGTCCCGACGTCTAGAGGCAACAATAAGTCGATCACACATCGTTTCTTCCTCTCGTCTGTCGGCCAAATGAGTAGCACATCGAGCCTCGAACTCAGACTGACGCGCCATTTGATCTTGATACTCTCGGTTCAGGATCTCATTTGCCTCATCGGCAACTCGAATCAAATGGTCTGCAGTCAATGACGAAATAATTCTTCCTTCGTTTTCTAAGTTCAAAAATGCTCCACCTGCATGTTTCTGAATTGCTTTCTGCCACTCCTGAGAGCAAAGCATCATGACTAACTCAACAGCGGATTGACTATTTTTCATGACTATTAGCCCTTCGTTAAGCAACTCTTGGCCATGTGAACCGATCAAAGTTTTGGATAAATACTGTGAAAAGTCTAGGAACAGGTCCCTCAAGACTTGGCTACTTCCATTGAGTGAATTTTCCAAATATTTTGAAATATTGTTTCCCATCGTCACTTTATTGAAGTTCAGTCCTACTGCAAAATTTAGTTTATCAAAACTGTCAGCTTCTATTCTCGAATGTCCAGTTGAGGATGTTGACGTCAGATCCAGACTAGCTCCAATTCCAAGTCCCAAATCCTCAGTTTCTGTTTCGTTCGCCGTCACCAATCGGTCACCTGATTCTGGTTCTTCAGAGCCAGACCAGGTAGCTGTTCTAGTCAAGGTAGCCTTTTTAGAATCCGCATTTAAACTTTGACGTCTTTTAGAATCTTTCGATCCTTTTGAAAGATCTGAATCGTCTGCATCGGCAACTGGAGTTCCTAGATCCACATCTTCGAATTTGTCCTCATTTGATCTCGGTGAATCATTTTCATTAGTTTCCTCCGGGCCACACGACATTGGTGTATTGGGACCACCGGGGCTTCTTAGACTTGGAGATCCGAGGTTCGAATCCATGACTTCTTTTGTAAAAGGCGAAACCGTAACCTTGCTGGGTTCCAAAATATCCTGGTACCTTCCGACCATCAGAAGCGTCAGAAAGTATACACATGATAGAGCGACTGTTTGGCTTTGTTTTATATCGTCCGTTTCTCTGTAAATCGCAGCCCGGATTCTGCTAATGTCTATATCCTGAAGTAGTCTTGACAAATCGTTGATAGCTTGCAACTGAATTGATCCGCTCAGAAAATCGCCGGCTGCATCCTCACCTGGAATGTCTTTCTCAAACGCCACGAGTTGTTTGGCGAATTTGTATCTACATTCGAGACAGTTCTTAAGAGCGGCCCAGAATACCAATCTTAAGCACTGCCGCAGAATGCCTCCCGGATTCATACGTTTCTCTGTTTCCAGACTTGAAAACCGAGGAGACGCCGAGTAGACAAAAATGTCTACGAGATTTAACAGTCTGTGAACGAAGGAGAAACTCTCGTCAAAGAGGAGTCCCGCACTTGCTGCTATGTTATCTTGGCTCTGCGACGTGGCCGAATGAAGCAGAGGTACCAAACCTCCACTTGAATACAGAATCATGTCAGATATCTGAGATATCACATGAACAGTATTATGCAGGAATGTCGTATTATCAGCAGCATTTAGGAAGTCGACAAGAGTTTTATTGCTTTGACTTCTCCAAATCTGAACGTCCGTCTCTATTGCAAAGATCAAATCTGACAGAAGACGTTTTACAAGATGTGACCACTGGAATGGAGGAATTCGGAACAGTTTGCCTGTCCTTCTTTTTCCTTCTGAAATCGTCTCGTTATGATTTGGCGATGGCTTGCTTTTCAGAATTGATTTTGGAATGGCTCCTGCATCTTCTTTGACTCCCAGCTCATTGGAGGCTCTGGGTGATTGTGCATCTTTTGGCGAAAACCGAACCTCTTTTGGATAGGATTCGGTGTCTGTGGTAATCGTGGTTTCCTCAGGTTTAATATCGTCTTTAATTTCAGTTTTCCTAATCTGAACAGCAGCGTTCTCATCTGGAAGTTCATTTGAATCTACTTTTTCTGTTGTATTTTCGTCAGTGTTTTTCGCGACAAAGCTATTGATCGAACTTTGCGGTAGTCCTAACACCTTCAATGAGTCATTTGAATTTCCAGAACCTCCGGAACTGGGCTCCTTTTCTCCGGATTTGGTCAAAATATGATCAACATATACTTGAGATTGTACAGCTGCTACGTCCCCAGGTAAGGTCCCAGGACTTGCTTGAACGTCCAAATTTTCAGCAGCTTCCAGATCTTTTCTTTTGTTGCATGCCTGAGAGTGCGAGCCGTTTTGGACAGCGGAAGTTCCACCACCACTTCTCTTGTCAGTATCATTTCTCCACGATTCTCGTCTGTGCTTTCTATGATGATGTCCAGATGCCAGCACCGATCTTCGATAATTTTCAATTGATACTTTAAAGTGAGCAATGCTCAGTGTATCAATCCATACACGCCAGCCTCCGTATTCAAACTTGACAGCATGATGTAGAAGAATTTTGAACAGAACTAGAACCATTTCAGTGATTTGTTTCTCACGTTCATTTGCCGGGTAAATGTGCAACAAAGAGAAAACCCAATCTTGCCAAACCGAACATTGAAGCAATCGTCTGCGATTTTCGCGGTTGTGATTGAACAGCAATATCATATCAGCAATGAACTTTTTCTTGATCTCGAAAACATTCAGTGTTTTCCTGCTCGTGTTTATCATAGTTGCAATACTTTTCAGCCCAAGTGCATTTATCAACGGAGTTGTCGAATCAATTTCAGCATGTTTGTTCTCCATGATCTGGGGTCCTGTTTGTTCAGTGCAAAACTCATACATCACATTGTAAGTTGGCAAAGTTATTTCGTCACAATGAAGCATCATCCTTTGGCCAATCAGTTCATACAGGCCATAAGATACCATTATATCCATTTTCCGCTTGTAGGGGATGTTAGCCATGTAGTAAATCAGCACTTTGGCCGCTTTAATTCTGATCCTTTCACTCGGCGATGTTAATATTTTGAAGATTGCTCTCACAGCGTATTTTCGATCCAACGCTTGCGAAGTCAGTTTTGGCGAATTTGCTGTTATCGACAGCAGAAGCGACAGAACATCGTGGATATTTTCTTCTTCGTGTAGTGTTGTTAAATAGTTCAGCAAACTTTGCATGTGTTCTTCATCCACAAAGTTCCCATCAACTGTTATAACTCCTTTTAGAAACAGAAGAATGAATGACCTGATTGTCAGAATATCCGTCTGCTCGGGCCTTGGACCATCTGCTCCTTTCGGGGCGACTCCCGATTTGGCTTGAGGGTTTGTAACCCAGTAGTAAAACTTCAGCATGTGCAGTAGCTGCAATACGGTACTTACACGTCTTATTCTGCTTAGTTTAAACAGCGGGCAATTGAGGGCAAAGTCAGTGGACAAGTAAGTGAACAATGTGATTTGGATTTGGACGGGCGCATAGATCCAGAGATTAGCATTGAGAAGCAGAAAGTCAATCGTATGTTTCAACAATGCTTCTGACCTTATATGTATGAAATAGTTGGACAATGAGATCACATTTTCGAGCAGACCTTCGCTCATAATCTTGTTCGAATACTTCACAAAATAGTGTCCAATTACCATCAATCCTTTCAATTGCACCATTTGCTGTCTTATTTGTGACGATCGCATGAGTAAATTCGAAACCAGTTCCAGGAGCACTTCTGCAGGGTTGAAGTTCGCAGGAGCAGAAGGGTCCAGATCCAATCCGAGTTGCGTCAAAAGAGGAAACAGAATTTGGATTCCTCCAATTGAATGCAGCGAGTGGAAAACCGGTTGGGTTGTGACCGCTTTCACATCTCCTTGGAGTTGTGCGTGAGGTGAATGAGAGAAGTAACCGTTTGTTTCCTTTCCTTTCGCGGCAGAGGCTGCTGAGAAAAAGCAGACCTGACATTGCGAGGCTCTAGCGCTGTACGAGAACACTATTTCGGACGAAAGTGATCCTTGAGAGAAAATCGCATTGTTGTAGAACTCCGAGAGACAAACATCAGTATCTGATTGCTGGTTAAAAAGTCCAGTGTAACAAGGTCCGAGTTGATGCAACGCCTCGACCTGTGATTGCGCCATCGCTGATGAGAGAAGATACGTCGTTCCAATTTGACCGCAAAAGTATCGACGAATTTTATCGTCCCCCTCGTTGCACGGCGCCCACCCAATGAAGCATTTATCGTATGCGTCATAGCCAGCTTTCACATACCAGTTCACTTCAACAGTCGTCACTAATTGACCGTCAACGTAGCATTTGATCTCGCCATTTCGCCAGCGACTATAAATGTGAACCAACGTCAACATATACCAGACTCTTGGTTTGAATTCAAAATTAACAGAATACTGGTATCCTTTGTTTTTGCTCTTGATCACAGTTACAATCAAACAAGCGCCTACGAAATGTGCAGAGTATCCTTGGCCTTTGGACGTCCGAAAACAGTACACGTACGGTTTGTCTTTATCCTCTCGTATATCACTGATCGGATCCGAGCGAATCCAAGTCGTGAACGTATAGCCATTGGTGCAAGGCCATTTAGCTATAGGGGGTATTGCAATGTAACTTCGGTCAAATCCTGGGAAGTCAAAAAACTCTGTAGGTCCAATTTGAAATGGCGCTTGGCGCAATACTGTCATCAAGTTTGCTGAGTTATTGGGCCAGGTAATGTTAGTCCCTTTACTGGCATTTTGCAAATGGTTGATGATAATTTTCAACTCATTGTTTGAAATCGATTGTGGAACTATAATGCACAGTATTTCAGTGAATAAATCAACAAGAGCATCATTTGAATCGGAAGATACCAATTTTTCGAGGAGATATTTTGCAAGTCCAAACTCGGAACAGATACATAAATTCCGGGTACTTTTCTGAATCGCCGCTTTGAATAATGACCAAACCTGAGGCTGCAATTTGGAACTTCGGTCGCATTTTTCATCCTCGCAAATAAACTTCAATAAATCTAAACTCGTGGCGAGACTAGTTTCACTTTCGAAAGTGTAAGCGGTTTCCAGGTCAAACACAGTGCATACAGCTGTGTTTGTGACTACTTTAACCAGATCCTCAGCTGTGAAATCTTGTCCGAGTAAAGCCGATTTGAACAGCTTCAGGTGGTCAGCAATGACTCGTTGTCCTTGAATATTGAAGACAATTTCCATTTTCTTCTCAGAGAAGTAATAAATTTCCCTGTTCTATTTTCAACACCGAGAATAAAAAGTCTTTGTTCTGATGTATAAACTAACTGGTGGTGTTTTTAGGCCACGCGATGATCAAATTAGGCTCACAAAGCAACATGGTGCCGCAAGTTTTCCGAGCTAATGACGCATTCAAGACTTGCTCTAAAATAGAAACTTGGTGTAACCAGGAGAAATGTATTCCATATGTTACTGCTAAAAAACTACACAATAAAAAATAGAACGCTCTTAGCTTAACAAAAATTGAACTAGCCGCGCGTCTGCCATATATATTCTGCAGGAAAATAATGACATTACTGCAGACAGAAATGAAATTTGAATTCAATCGTTTTTTGCTGTGAGCTATTTTCAATTGATAGAACTAGTGAATGCAGATCACATCTCTACTTAGACTGATAAGAAAAATCTAGATTTAGAAATGATTTAATTGATTATGGTAATACTAACTAATTTCAATAAATGCATTTAATCGAACTGACTAGATTAGAGAATGATAATAGCAACAATAACTATAGTAACCTCCTGCGCGTTCAATTATCTAACCCTAAAGCTAAAACAAACTACTTTAAGAAATTTAGCACAAATCGAATCGCAGTGAACAATTTAAGGGAGAAAAGTAAAAAACTGAAATTCACTTATCAAAATTGGAGAACATCTATTACAAACTGACCAAAATGAACAAACAAGAAATTATAAAGTTAGCACCAAAAATTTATTTCTGCTACTTTCTAGGTTGTGTTACAGGTCCGTTCCAATCAACTAATGGATATACACAGAGCCCATCAACTAATTTGGGAGGACCTTTATTATTAGGAATAAGAAAAGTCAAAATTTGATCTAGAAATAAAATAACACATCCCTGAGAGCTTTTTCTACGTGCAAGGTAACAAAAATTCACCTGTCACTACTTTTGGACACCTCAAAGCTATCTATGATTTCTAAATTTTAATTTAAAACTATTCAACTGAAAGAAAACCGTGAGAGCAGTTCAAAAAAGGGCAACTGTTTTGGTCCGTGTCAAACCGGAAAATAAGTATCTGAGAACATACGCGACATAACTTGTCGAACAGGTTTGGAAGTCTCGTCGTTAAAAGTACTGTATATTCTATGCAAGTAGGGCTGTAAGTTTGTGAAGCTGGTGTCAAAAATTAAGTTTAAATCTGACAAGACTGGGATTTTTGGAACATATTCGGTGGAAGTAATGGCCTCGGATATTAACAGGATTTTTTCGATGATAGTAGAGCTCAGCTGCTGGAGGAATTGTTCTTTGTCATAGAAGTCCACCATCTTGAGTTGGAATGTCCAAATCTCCCATGGAATATTCTCCTCCATTCTCAAAGGCCACCTTGGTCTTCTCTTTTCGAAAAATTCGAGGTGCAGTTGTCCTCCTGAATCACGGTTCACAGGCTTCATTAATTGCTGATGAAAATTGACAATTTCTCTGTGAAGTTTAGCATGCAATTCAGCGCAATCGGATTTGACGTATGTTAGGTCGAGAACTTTGCAGTCGACGTCAATAAATCCAACGGACCCAATCGAGTAATTGTTCTCTCCGGAGTAGCGAAAACGACCAGTGCTTCTGTGAAAGAACAAGGTGTGCATCAAGGCAGATAAAAGTTCTTCACAGCTGGATTCGTCTACGTTTATATCAAACTTGTGACTTTTTGCATTCATTACTCCTGAAATCATCAACTAACTCATTTACGCTAATAATCCAACTTAATTCTGAAAAAAAAACGAAGAGTAACACTTGACAATTAGAACGGATTCATGACGTCAACTTGACGTTATTCTATTTAAACTGATTGTTTATTTATAGCCCAACGAAGATTGATGAGGTTTCAGATATTGATATTCATTAATTAACAATTAAACAAACCGAATGCCTAACAAAAAACGTTTCACGTAGAGACGAAGCGGAACTTCGCACCATTTGCGATACAACACATACATGTGAAAAAAAATAAAACTTGAAAAAAAGGTGAACCTTAATTTTTCATATGTCTCGATAAAAACAACTATGGGCCCAGCTTAAGCTCTGGATGTACGTGTTTGATATTGACTGAATCTGCTATACTGATGTGGCACGAAAGGTGTGATTCAAAATAAGACTTTGCCCAAAAACTTATTTGTTTTTCTAGTAAAATAAGTGAGAGTAGAACAAATTTTGAGAAAATCAATTTTTCCTTGATAATAATTTTTTAACAATTTAGGGAGTCGCCGCTTCTGTAGGAATAATTATCGCAACCGGTTTTCATTGAATATCAGATTTGATTGTCTAAATTAAGAAAATTCGAAACGTTTCAAAAAAACAGTGAAAAATTCTTAAATACGGTCAAAAGACTTTCCAAAATCCATAACTTGTTTTCGGCAGAAAGCAAGTTGTGGCCGCTCAAGCAGAGAAGATGCTCAGAACAGGGTTTCTCGATTGAACGCAACCTGAGAATTGACACGGTAGTTTATGTCTTAAGTGAAAAGTTTCCAAAAAATCAAAGTTTGAAAACTTTGACTTGTTTGAAGGCCATAACTTTTTTCTTAAACAAACTGGGCATGACTTCGATTAAGCCTATGATATTAGCCAGAATACTCAGCGAGAAAATTCCAGAAAACAGTCAACCAATGAAAAATTAGACGTTTCCGAAAATCATAGCTTTTTGTATGAAAAAAAGGGCGTGGCCGCTTATGCAGAAAGGATTCACGCAATCTTTTTGACTTTTTCGAGAGCCATACTTTTTGGAGATCATTGTTTTTTTTCTTGACAAGGAGGCGTAAAATGAGCTTCGACTAGCCAGTTGGCTTAACAAGTCGGGACATCCAGAAAAACCAGTTAAAAAAAAAACTGCCGGAAAAATGACAAAAAATGACCCTGTCCCGCTGGGCAAAAGCTTACGTTCTCGTTTGCTCTAGTATAAAATCAAAATGATGTACATTATTAGCATCGTAAGGTAAACGCGATAGTAGAACTGTCTACGGAGCTGTTGGGGCAGGAAGTTGAAAAGATGGGTCATGAAGAGTCATAGAAATAGGAAAAAAATGGAGATGACACCGATGGTTTGTTTTTCAATCAGCTTGTTAAAGCAAGATTTTTGGTTGACGCATATCAGTTGATCAACTGAATACCAAAAAAATTGTGTTGATAAGTTTTTTAAAAGGATGATGTCAATTTTTGCACACAATGGAAAGAAAAAACTGAACTCATGAGAAAAAAATAAGTTCGTAGAGTTGGATCTATAACCTGAATCAGACCGTGAAGTCTCCGGAGGGTGGAGCAGAAAATTTAACCCGAAAGTCGGAACAAAAAAACGAGGCAGGCTTCAAATTTTCGGGAGTTTAAATGTGATTAAATCCTGGGGCAGACTTCTCTCTAGGGAGTCGAGGCAGCTCAATGACTTCAACTCTCACCACTGAGCCAAAAATTGGTCGATCGCGGTCCAGCAAATATTTTCACGGTCCAGCACCAATTTAAACATTATTAGCATCGCTAGTGAACAGATCTCCGGTTAAACACGATAGTGAATAGATCTCCGAATTTGTTGGAGCATGAAGTCGATAGGATGGCCACCCGAGTTGACCTCCATAGACTAAAAATGCTAATCATACAATTCCATAAACTAAGTCTATGAAAAAATACTAATCATACAAATTTCATACATTTTGCTAAAATGATGTCGTCGAATTTACGAAAAACTTTTCCCTTGTTATGGCATAAAATTCGGTGTATCGTACTAAATAAAAAAAAACTTTTGTCAAAAAAAATGCTAATCATACAATTTCCGGTGATATATTACAATAGGTGGTAGATGCAACAGATTCAACTGCGAAGAGAAAAATATCTGGCTCGAACAGGCATTCAAACCCGGGGGCCATTAGTCCAATGCGTTAACCACTAAGCCAACCGGTCTGGTTTTTGAACAGTGATAACTTTAGACTTAAGCTCACAACAGAGAATAAGTAATTCAAAAACAGTTGTTAGCCATGCTATTTTTCGATTTTGTAAATCAAACTAAAAATGATATGAGAGCAACTGTGTTTGCTTTTCGCAAAAACTTTGTATCTTATCTTTTTGCTTTCTATTCATATATTTGTGATGGATAGTTATGCGCTGGTTAATAAAGTCTGCCATCTGACTTTCTCTTCAGTCGGTTTGGTATAGTGGATAACATACTTGATCCAAGGCCCAGAGGTATGGGTTGAAATCCCGCTGGGAGCAGTTTTTCATTTGTAAAGACAGACTATTGTCACCTATTGTAATAAATCACCCAATTTCCATATATGGAAAATGTATGACTAGCATTTTTTTGATGGCGACGACAAAAAGTTTTCAAGTATTTTTGAAATTACACCTAAAATTTTTTTTGTGTTTTTAACCGCAAATTGATTTTCGTACTCAAACAGACATTTTTTAAAAAAAAATTTGGATGCAAAATTTATTTTTTGTGTGTATAACGTAGTCCTGGATATACTAATATTGGATTTTTTCCTTTTCTCTTCATAGCTTTTTTCAAAAACGCTTAAAACTCCTTTCTTTTGTATGACATGTTTTTGTATGCCTTGATCAATGTCTGGTAATTTAAAAATTCAAATTTTAGAAATAATCATCTTTTATTATTTTTGTGAAGCAGAATTAAAACATTTCAGCCTGTTTACAATGCAGTTTTACTGCGAGACGGCCAAATCTTTGGTTACTACGTTTAAGTAAACAAGGTTTATGTCATTTGTGTTAGGTTACGAACACAACCAAAAAATTTTGAGAAATTAAAATGTAAAAAATCAATATTTTTAGTTTATGGAAAAATGCTAGTCATACAATTTCCATACATGAAAAAATAATAATCATAGACCTTTCATGCAATTTTCTGTACTTATGGAATTGCATGGTTAGTGTATGATTGGCATTTTTCCATATATGAAAATTGTATGACTAGCATTTTTGGTCAACCCGGGCGTGGAGAGACTCACAGATAGTGAGAAGGTTGAAAAGGCACCAATAGTGATCCTCGGTCAGCATATCAAAGCGAGATTATCGCTCGACCTAATATCATTTGGTTACCTCAATAACAAAAGAAGGCTTGGCAAAGACTTCAAAAAAATAATAACAAGGTTTCGCTATTTGACCCCTCGAGAACACTGGATTGAAATTTTTTTTCTAACAGAAGAGGCTATGCTAGCTTTTGTCCCTACGAGGTAGATGATTACCTATTACCCTATCAACCCACTTGGTTGATGATAAATTGTCCCTAAACTATATTACCTATTGAACAATCAACAGAAAAATATGTGAGTTGGGAAAATAGCAACATCTTATGTTTGTGAAGTCGGATTTGTAAACTGAATCAGATTCTGAAGTCTCTTCAGGGGAAAAACTTTAGTTCGGCGAGTCGTTACGAGAAAGAGAAGCAGGCTTTAAATTGTCCGGTGAGTTCGTTGTGATGAAGTTCTGGGACAGATTTCTGTCCGGGGATTCGAATCTCACTCTCACCACTGTGCTTGAAGCCTGATTGATCGAGGTAACGAAGCTTCCAACGAGATTCCATTTTAACGATATTGTAATCAAGACCAGTCTAAGACGCTCGGAGCTAGAAAGTAAAAACTTGCTAATAATGTGGCGTGTCAAAGCGCTAGTTGAAACTCATACAGCGCAACTTTTCAGTGACCAATGGATTGTCCCGACGACTAATGCGAAAAAAAAAACATTTTCTCAGATCTGCTGAGAGCTGAAACGAATGATAGGACGATAAATTTACCATGATTCTATCGAATGGAATCATTTCCCCGTTTTTTTCCTGCCAAATGGCAATCAATCGTGTCGATATAGCTTAAGCTACGTTACAGTAGCATTTCAAGTTGCCAGTTGTGGAAAAAGTTGCGCGAAATTAGTGTTGCCGCGTGCTTGTTTGGTCAGCTAGAAAAAGACAAGACGAACCTGAGATATTTTCGGAAATTAATTAGGTAGTGCAAATCGATCATCAGAATATCTGCTAAAAGGCAACCTGCTATAACCAAGGACTAGTACTGATAGACCATTTCACTGAAAAGCATCAGCGGTAGAAACTTTCTGTCTTTCTGAAGAAGATGTAGACCATCCTATCAAGCATGTCAGATCACATTCCAGCCTGGTTTTGGCAAAGTGTTTGTAGACGAGTGAACAACGGAACTCATGAAAAGATGGCCCATTTGAGGTTTTCACAACTACAGACAAATTGTCTCGATGTTGCGATTGTATGGCTCAATTTACCTGGATGACCGATCTCACTTGAAGTCGATATGGCTGATGATATAGAGATCGACTGTATTGAAAATTGTTTTGAATATCAGCTAGAGCTAGAAGATGGAAAAGTGGTGTAGCAGTTGCATAAATGGGAATTGATTAACCTGAGGGTGCCCGAGTTTATTCACGATCTCCCAGTTGAGCAATTGGAAACAATTTGCTCCGAAATCCAAGATCCAAAATCTGTTCAAAAGCCGAAAAGTCGAAAAAAGCTTAGATTATAAAAAAATGTTCATCAGAAAAAAAAACTAACATTAAATCTTCAGTTCAGTTCAGTTCTTTTTCTGAGCTTTTAAGCGTTATGTCGCCTCTATCGATCAGCTCATGATGTACTCTTTTTCGATTAATTAGTCTCAAATTTATTAATTCCGCTTTTCTTCCAATGTTTGTCCAGGTTGTTCATGAAAGCATTCAAGGTCTTCGAGTCATGGCAACATGTTCCAATTGTAA